TATGTATCTAACATAACTCTACCAGTTAAATAGAAATTCCTCAGTATACAATTTTCTGATAGAGTGGTCAGGTACTGGAACAGGACTGGAACAGTCCTGCTCCATTAGCAGGTCCGTAAGCTTCTGTGATTTTTCTATTTTTGATACTTGTACAGGTGATATTTGAACTTTTTTGTGGAAAACTAGTTCATCCCTCCCGTTCTAAATAGTACAAAAAATTCAAAGATTGAAGTAAACTTAAAATGATGTTCCTGTCTTTCGCTTATTCTTTTAAGAATATTTTGTGAACTTTGAAAAAAATAAAACAAGCAAGCACAATTAGATTTCTTCAGTGCCTTCATATCGTTACCTGCTTACTCAGATCTAATTTTGAAAGGATTGTCCTTACTTACTAACTTACTGACTTACTAAATCCTTACTGCATTATCTCCTTATATGTTCAGAAAAACTATAGACTTATTATCTTTTCCATTATACCAATATTTTGCCTGCTCAGTTATATGCCTGACTTGATAAAATCCATAGGCTTCAACTATGCAACATTTTGGTATTCTTAGGCAGAGTAGGCACTCTGCACACGAGAGTAGTGTGCACATGTTTTTCCTGTATTTTTTTCTGACTGAAATAATTTTCTGCTGCTAAGAGATGAACAGCTTTTCCCCTGTGGTATGTAGCATACACAGCTACAACTCCACTTTTTGTGTCAACTTCTGTTGTTATTATTCACGTTAATTAATTTTATTCCAAAAATATTCTCCTATCAAACATCTGTTGACATGCTATATTTTCATATTCTGATTTTTATCTAACATAGGTATCTAAATCTATATTTGTGTACTCCATTCAATTTTTTCCTCTCAAAAGTTTTATCTGCGTTTTCCTTTCCCATACATGTTTCTCTTTATTTTACTAACATGAATAATGCTATGAATTAATTTTGGCATTTAGCATGTTTCCCTGCATTGTACATGCAGCTTTTCACTTGGTACTCACCTATGGAGGATATACTGGGAACTGTTTTTTGAAAACGTGACCAAACTGTATTTACACACTAAATGTTTAGTGTTTAGATAGTAATAATGTCTTTATGGTTACAGCTCCATGTAGACATGGAACTTCTTTTTAGAAGGTACAAGCATTAATGGTATTATTCAATTCCTAAGGTATATAATAAAAAATAATTTGCCATGGAAATCAGGTATATGTGAGGACACTTGGTACATATAGTATTACCTATAAATAACGACACACACAAAATACTACATGTAATTCTAGTTGTTTTTACTGTTAAAAAAAAAAAAACCAAAAATCAAAGCAGTATATTGTCAGAATTAATATCTTTAACAAAAATTTTGTAAAAAATATTTACTCATGGTATTTTAAAAAGTGTTTCTTTTAATAATGAGGAGACATTGGAATAGTGACTCAAAAACTGGATGAAACAGGGTGTGATTTCTCAAGTCACATCAATGACACCATTTTTTTGCATACATAAAGATGAAGCAGATAATGATAGATGCTGCTTCACTGACATTGAACTTTTTTCCTTTGGATTCACGTGACAAATATTTTGATCACTCTTCCTGAAGATGAAAATGGTTATTTGCATTTTCACAGAGAGATAATTATTGTGTGCTACAAACTTGCAGACAAATCTGCATTTAACCAAAACTTCTATAGTTTATCCCCTTTGTATTCTTTACAAAATAAAATGTTGTAATTAGATGACTGAATGAAATGAATTGCATTCACACAAGTGTTTGCACAGACCACTTTTTTTTTTTTTTTTTTAAATGCTTAGTGAAATGTGGGTTTCACTGCTTTTTACTTCCTTTTGCCCTCAAGAATTTTTAAGGAGTAGTAAGACAGTTACTCATTTTGAAGAAGATAATGAAGTAATGGAGCATAGACTTCCCTCCATCAAGAAATACAGTACAGAATAAGATAAGGAATGAAATAGATGGAAGTAAAACAAAGAGATTAAAAGTTTAGTACCTTTGTATACATTTGACTTCCAACCTGTCCTAGTATAGCTTTAACTAGACGGGGTTTTCTTTGTTAGTTTGTTTGTTTTTGAATATTAAGTGTGCAGGTCTCATCTGAAAACTCGATCTTATATGATATAATCAAAATATCCGTTTTGGTGATTTAATATATTATAACTGTTTCTAAATAAAGGTCTCATCACACATGTTTACTTCATTTCACGTTGATTAAAAGAGTATTAACAAAGATTCTTATCAGTTAAATGGAGATATTAATATGAGTGACAGTGGCATATCTGTCACAGGAGTGGAAAGCCTTTTATGATGAGGCTCTATTCAGTGAAATTTTGGTCAGGGCCTTGAAGATAATTTTCACTTAAAATTACATAATATCTAGCTAGACTGACAAGATCTTAATTAGTAAATTAAAGGCTGCAAAATCTTGTTCTCATAATCCATGCTAGCTTTTTATCTCCTCCACTTCTCATCTGCAAGACAAAACTCTCACACTTATCAGGTTTCGGGAGATGTCCATTATTCTCCCCTTACATCTCTGGCTTATTGCCATGGACTAACACTATCAGGGAACATGATAATATACGCTATGAAGCATATACACTAAGTTCTTTATCCTGGGTCCTTATACTCAGATTTAGTGTTATACTAGACATGCTGTATAATTAACAAATTGAGAAAAAACGGAAACAATACAATTTAAGCTGAACAGTGCATTACTGCAGAACATTCAAGTATGGAAAAGACTATTTTCTTCCTAAAGTTGTTACTGAGCATAATGAAAAAGTAATGGTACAGTAAATTCCTCGGAATAGAAAAATTATAAGGAAAGAACAAGTTTTGAAATATGACATTACAGATACATCTGCTTCAGTTTTATATTTACAACTTCCATTTATGGAAATAAATTATATTTATGAGTTTTAACATAATCACAAGTTTTTCTGCTTTAATGATCTTTTAGGGCATCTGTGACAGATGTTTTCTAAGTCTTACTTTTTAAGTTTTGAAGGACTATTACCGCAATCAATACATCAATCAATAAATACAAATAAGCTTGAAAAATACTTTGATTTTTTAACTTTCAGTTATGCAAGGACAAAGAACCTCTGTCCTTAGATCCTAGCTCTGAGCAGAAAATCTATCGGAAAAGAAAAATAGATCCTCTGTAGGATCAGGAATCAGTTGCCTAAATATTTAAGTTGTTGCAAATTTAGGTGACTTTAGGCATTCTAACTGATACCCACGTGTCTCTTCTGAAGAGCACATAGCTTCAGCTGACCTTATGACATTATCAGCAGGACACTTGAGTATTTCAGATATTCTAGTGTTTATAGTGGTTCTAAATTTTTCTATTTATACATATTAAATCTATACTCCATATCCATATCCATTTCATATCCATTTCATATGCCATAACATAGGCAACTGTTATTCATCGGGATAATGAACATAAGTTTATATTTGAGTTGAACAATCTGAAAATATTTGGGTTAGGTAGATACTGCTATGGATGGGTGTTGAATTAGCAGCTTTAATGTGATAGATTTTAAGTTCATTATTTATATTGTTATAATATTCATAAATAAATTCTATAATTTAGAAAACTAATATTAACGATTAAAGCATATTTAACATACATACAATGTTTTCTGGGAATTCATCTCATATGTGCAATTACAATTTCACGGAGAAACATTATTTCTATGTAGAGTTACATAAACATTGGTCCTTTCATTCATGTAATGATTCTTAATATTTGACTAGATCTCTCCAAGCAAAAATCTCAAGTTCTATGATCGATTTTTTTTTTTTAAATTCTTAGAATATTTTCTTGATATCTCTGCTTGACCATGAGTGAAAACATTTTAGAACACTGTTCACTCTACAGTTTTAAGATTTCCAGCATTTTCCAAAATGAAAGGACAATGATAGCAGTAGCCACCTGTGTGGGGAAAGATGTACCTGTTGTTTTGGACATCTAACTCCAAAGCCCACTAATGGTTATTGATTTCAGTCATCAGCAACTCAAGAAACATTTCAGATGGAGGAATTGAGAGGGATAACTATAATATAGATGACTGAATAGTAATCCAAACTTTATAATCCACCTTTCATCTGTAACAAAAATTGAGAATCATAAAGAGAAGGATATCAACATCTTAGTAACAATTTTCCCATTCAGAAATCAGATTTAGTGTGTACATCAAGCTTCACTGTAGAAGGTCGCATCAGAACAGTTGGAAAATATCAACAATGAAATTGATTACAATATTCACTGTTACATAAAATGTGTTTGTGTTATAATAGACAAGGAATTCATGTAATTTAAACAGGCCCCTATACCAATCTCTGAGACTGAACATATGCAGCGTGGTAGGTCTCAAATCCACTGCAGGTTTATACTGCAGAGATACATTTATTCAGATGTATACTGCAGAGCGCAAGAACAGGTTTTGTATAAGCAAGAGCCCCTTAGACTGTTACACTATTAAACTAAATCATGAATGTCAATCAGAAGAAGTATTCTTTTTTATTTTCCTTGGCTGTGTTTTGAATGCTGAGCTCACTTTTCAGTGTAGATTCAGCACATTCTTCATTTTCAGATCCTTTTTTCTCGTTTTTTGAATAACTGCTCTTTTTTCTGTAAATGCATATGACTGTGGCAGACATACAAAATAGGATGAATATCACAGCTGCTATCACACCTAGTAAAGAAAAAGAGAAAAAATTTAGAGGATAGTTAGAGAGGTTGTAACATATCTGTCAGCTAGAGGCAGAAAAGAGCAGGACAAAGAGAAATCTGTAATTTTGAACTTGGTTCTCAAAATAACTCTGCCTATGTACCCCATAAAGGAAAAGCCTCAGCCACTTTGCAGTAAAAAAAAAAGGTAACAAAGAATTAGTCCAATTCATATCTAACACTTCATCCAAATTACCTCAGACCAAAGATGAGTGATTCTATCTGTAGGATGAAAGTATGAAATATTTGATCATAGAAACTCTGGTGGAAGATGAGAAGCCTATTTATCTTCAGACTGTTGAGGCAGAAAATCTAATGCTTATTACACGTTTTAGAAGAAAATCCCAACTCCTTACAAAGATCTTAGGTATAATGTAGTGGGATAAAATGTTTTACATTTTGTTTTACATTTACAGAGATCCTATTTCTGTAGTTGTTCCAATATCATTAATATATACTAGTTAAATTACGAAAATAACTAAAAGCAAAGCTCACTTCATATTTTGAGAAAAACAAAATAACATGCTGTTTTCTTTCACTCAGGATTGTGGAACGTGCTCTAACATTCTAGGTGTTCTTTGCTTAAACAGTTATCACTTTGTGAGCTCTCCTTTACAGCAGCTTGAACAATCCATTTGATAGGATATCTACCTGGTGAGATTTAAACCAAATATACAAAGAGACTTATGCAGCAATTGCCTAACATATGACAGATTTTGGAGAGTCAGTGAATATTGGTACTAGCCCAGAATATTAGGAGAAGTAAATAAAAAGATATTTTCCACAGAACTGTGTGCGAACTCATTGAATTCTAGCTCTCCATCTGTCATGATGGTCACAGTCCTTCAATCTCATAAATCAGAGTTGGAGAATTAGAAGAACTTAAAGAGAAAATGAACAGAAGGGAAGTCTTCTTAAAGTGACAGGAAGAAAGACTGATTTCCTAAAAAAATAGTAAACAGCCAGAGAAATACGAGGTTTAACTGTAAAGGGAATAATCAACAGCTTTATCTTGCAACTCACAGAATCACAGAATGGTTTAGATTGGAAGGGACCCTTAAAACCAGCTAGTTCCGAACCTCCTGCTATAGGCAAGGATACCACTCACTAGACTAGGTTGCTAAAAGCCCTATTCGTCCTGATTTTAAATACCTCCAGGGAAGATTATTTCACAACTTCTCTGGGCAACTTGTTTCATTACCTCCCCTATTTCACAATAAATAACTTCTTCTTGATATCCAGTCTAAATCAGCTCTTTTACAGTTTAAAGCTGTTTCCACTCATTCTTTTGTTAAATGCCACCCAAAAATGTCCCTCTCCAGCTTTCCTGTAGACCCCTTTGAGGTGTCTCTGGAGCCTTCTCTTCTCCAAGCTGAAGAGTCCTAGTTCTCAGCCTGTCCTCGCCTGTTCTTCAACCTGTTCATCAAGCTTCTTTTCAGCCAAGATATGGTTGATCTTCTGTGCTGCACACATGAACAGCCAGCTCATTTTGAGACTTCTGTCAACCAACACCCACAAATCTTTCTCCTCAAGCCACTTTGCGCCCAACAAGTATCTGTGCTTTGTATTGCTCTAACTCAGGTGCAGAACCTTGTGCTTGGCCCTGTCAAACATCATGAGATTGGCACGGACGCTCCTCTCAAGCCTATCTATGTACCCCTGGATAGGATTCTTCCACCTAGCATGTTGACTGCACCACTCATTGCTGATAGTGCACTTTATCTCAAAGTCCATGTCACTTACAAAATTTATAAATAACATCAATCTAAGCAACTGCCCCTGAGAAATGACACTAGTCACTGGAATACTTGTGGGTATTATTGTGGTACTGATTGAGGTGTTGTCCGCAACTCTCTGTGTGTGACCATCCATCCAATTTCTTATTCAGCAAGTGGTCCATGAATCAAATAAATTTTTCTCCAATTTCACAACCAGGATGTTGAGCAGGACAGTGTAGAATGCATTGCACAAGTGCAGGTAGATGTTGTCAGTTGCTGTTCCTTTATCCATTGACAGTGTAATACATCACACCAAGTTTTTCAGGCATGGTCTGCTGTTAGTGATGTCCCGTTTGTTAATACCAATCACCTCACCTATATTTTTTCATGTGCTTTTCTAAGCCTTTCAGAAGCATCTGTTACATGGTGTTCCAGGCAATGAAGAGGTGAGACTGACAGGCCAGTGGTTTCCTGGATCTCTTTTTCCCTTCTTGAAAATGGAAGTTGTTTCCCCCTTTGCAATCTCTGGGAACTGCTATAGTCTTTAAAATCTGACAGGCAGTGGCCTGATAACCTCCTCTACCAGTTCTCTTAGAACACATGGATAGATTTCATTGTGTCTCATGGACATGTGTACCTACATATTCTTTAGATGTTACTGAATCTTTTCACTTACCCTATCTTGAACCCTATCTTCACCCATCTCTTACCTTTGCTTTCTTGAGCTTGAGTAGCGTGACCACTGGACCTTGCCAGTGAGGACAGAGGCAAAGAAGCCATTGAGCACGTCAACTTTCCCTATGTCCCTCATGACCAGGCCTTCAGCTTCCTTCCAGACAAGGCTCTCATCTTCCCTGGACCTTGTTTATCACTGGTACACCTGTAGAATTCCTTCATGTACTTGGTACTTGGCAAGATTTTATTGTATCTTGGTTATAACTTTCCAATCTGGATCCCTGGCTTCTCAGACAACTTCTCTGTAGTTCTTCCACATTACCTGTGCTTACTTTCACTGCCTGCAGACATTGTATTTGCCACTAATTAAGCCCACGAGCTCTTTGTTGATTTAAGGAGGTCTTCTGGCTTCCTTGCCTACGTTCCAATTTCTCAGGATGTATGCTTTTGAGCTTGTAAGAGGTAGCCCTTGAATACCAGCTTACTTACTCCATTATTGCTTTAAATAAGATCAGACTGCACAATTTCAATCAAATCTTTTCTTGTCCATTTTTTTTCTCTCCATGAGAAATTCTTAATTTTAGGAATGAAAGTACCTCCTTCACATTCTACATATCCTAAAATCCATGGAAATATCTGGCGATCTGTTTCTTACTAAAGAGTCACAGTAGATGACCCTTGTAAGTACTGTATAAATGCATCTTGACTGTCTTAGTCAAGGTGGTAGAGTCTTCAATTATGTTTTTTTTTAAGACATTTTCATTAGACTTAATGAACATTCTATAGTTTGCCTTATTCTATCCTTTTAAACAGTACAACATGTTTAACAACAATAAATGTGAGAGGTTATTATCTTAAAAACAAACAAACATGCAACCACAAAAAAAAAAAAAAACAACACATAATGATCTGTAACGAATGTATTTTGAAATTTAAAATCAAATTCATTGTCAATACTATTAAAATTGCAAATCCATGCTATATTACCTAGTACATAAAATAATATTTGTGTGTTGGCACTTACGTAAGATAGCACCTTCTTTCTAAAACAGCAATGTATATTGTGACAGTTTATATACACAGCTGAACTTAGAAAATGTATTTTATGTTCTGTTCTCAGAGAATTCAGATATTAAATTTTCAAGGCTTTTTTAAATAAAAATACACAGACATAAGTATTGCTGTATGAGAAAGCAAGTTACCTGGTTTAATTATCTATCCTTTTAGCAGTTTTAACACTATTATGTAGAGTGTGTGGCTGGCCATACAGTGGGCTGTTAGGAGGTAGTGACCAAAGCAGGTCACTATAAACAACAATAAATGGCAGGCACCAAAGACTGCAGGTTCTTCTGTAACTTTATCTTTAGTAATCCTAAATGTTTTAACCTGAGTGAGAAATCCTGACACTTTTACTCTGTGGAATGCCTCCATGTCATTTGTCTTTGAGGCAGTGAAAACTCCTAATAATGAAGTGATAATGTAATGGATCAAGGATGTTACCTTTTCCTAGCCCTACTCCTTTCCTGCTGAAATAACCAATAGAAATCCAACCAATTACACAGTCAAAATACAAATTTCCTAAGTGTAAACAGACATATCTCCTTTGAGAAAAATTAGAACCTGCAATTCAGACAAGTGAATATTCTCAGGAGAGACAATCCTATTCATTGAAGGTAAAAAACCAAAACTGTCGTAAGTGCGCAATTTTATGTATTTTTGGCTAAAACTGAAATTTGCCTGAAAACCCTTGATTCTAAATTATCCCTATTAACATTCATCTGAGAAGTCTTAATTTAGGCTACAGAAACAGAAACGTGGTTTCTTCACTACTGATCTGCTGTGAGATGGTAGGTCAGGAAGACAAAATTAACAGAAGATACATATTCTGATTATCATTCAGATTATCTGAATTCATATTATTTATTCATGATTATCTGATTATCATATTATTTTTTAAGTTACAAGACATTTATCATGAACTGTTATTTAACAGACAATCATAAAAGCAAAGGGATTATCATCTTTTCTACTTCAGGAGCACTTTAATGTACATGTATTTTGCACAATTCCACTGTCAAAAAACAAGTGATTAGAAAACAATAACTGTAGATGATAATTTCCATTTGGCAAAAAAAAAAAAAAAAAAAAGTGCATGAGTTGAAGTTAACAGTATTTCAAATGAACAATAGAAATAATAATTATCATGTGCATTTCATTTTTAGCTGTTAATCAATACTAGTTATACTCTATTCTTATAGAGGGTCTTATTCAATTCTTTCAGTGTGCAGAATCAAAATAAAACAACTCAAAGGATTCACTTAAGCAATGCAGATTCCATTTTGTCACGAAAAGTCTGTTATGTCCAGACTTGCTAAGGAACATTATCTTCACTTTAAACTTAGCAATGTAGCCAAAATCTAATGCTTTGTGTTAGAGCAGATTGTTCTAACATACAAAAACACAAGTGGCACAACTTTATTTAATTAAAAATGTGAGTTGCTGGTTGCTTTTTAAACACTGCATAATTTTTCACTTTTTTTACTGCTTGCAATAAAATGAAAACTTTTATTCCAGTTTCCTTATGCACATAACTCCACCTCTGATTTAACTGCAGCATTGAAAGACTCACAATTATAAAAAATATGGAGAAATCTCAATATATCTGGTGTTTGCTATTACCTCCAACAATTGCAGAGTCACTTCTGATTGCACGAGTAAAGGGCTCTCTCTGATCTGTTGGTCCAAAATGATCTGCAGTAAGAAAGAAAAGGAAAAAAACAGACAAATTAAAGAAAGGATTTCACAAAATTCTTGTGTTGTAAAAGGTCATATACAGCACTGTATAGATAAACTATATGTATCTGAGTACTTCCACAGAAGTTAAGCGAATATTACTAAAATTTAAAGTAACAAAATCTGAGGGAAAGAAAGTGCATTGTTTTTCAAACTGATCTTAAGATAGTAAACTATATGGAAGAGAAAAAAAAAGTAAATATAAAATACATAATTCAGGTAATGTGTATACATAATTTGCTTCTTACATTAGAACAAGCGGGAACTATATGCTACCTGCAAATGAATGGGTTGTTTCGCTTAATGTTGAGTCAAGCCCAGTTAAAGAGCCACAGTTGGATTCAATGATACGCCCCTTAACAGTGATGGGGGCTGCGCTTCGGTGTTGTAGTGCAGCCTTCAAAGGAGAAATATGGTTGAACTGCACTGAAGAGAGACATCCAATAAAACCCTGGGAGTTTGCTTTCATAGTTTCCTCATCTGCATCACTGTTTTCTGTTAATCAAAAGGAAGAGAACATAATTAATCAAAATGCACTACGTGATTTAAATTGACAGAAGAATAAGTGAAAAATTAACCTGTATTCCTCTGAATATATTTGAGTTACGGCAATATATATAGATTCATTGAATCCTTTCTTTTTTGTCTTTAATGAAAAAGTAGTCAGATACCTTCAATACTGTTTTCTTACAGATGACAGTTGCCAGTCTTTTAGCTACTTTAAAGAAATGCTTTTAGCTACTATAGCAAGTTCCAAAGCAAAAATAGTCAGAGGTTGACTTTCCTCTGTATCTGTATTATGTCTGATGAGTGCCTTACCTATCCATCTGCTAGATCTCATTCATAAAAATGACTTCAATCCGAGATTACAAGAAAAAGAAAATCCCAAAAATACATGATAAAAAAAAAAAAAATCTATCTCCTACTACAATTATGGTGGAAATCTTGAAGTATGAATGATTTTCTATTATATTTCATTTTGCTCTTTGATTAATGTTTTAAGTGGAAAGAAAGGCAATATTCAAATTTTAGAAACATTAATTAGTAAAGACTTACGGAGGAGACCACTTTATTAGCTCAATCACTGTTTCTACAAAAAGTACAGATGTTTAGGGAAGAAAAACTCTTGCCAACTTTAGTGCTTTGGTCAACTGACTTCAAATGATATTAAAAGAGTTGTTTATAGATGCCTACATCTTTTGAAAACTTTATTCATATTTTTATGTATCTTCAGATCAATACTTTTAAAGTAGAGTCAAAATTTTCAGCAGTTTGTTCAAGCTATAATATCTTTTTCAAAGAAGTCGCAAATGCGAAACAAACAAATGAATCAAGCTTTCATCCTGAATTTTGTTTCTCTATGTTCTACTGAAAGTTTTCAGATATATAATAATCCCTAGTGGAAAATTCCAAGAGAACTATACCATGACAAGATTACTTTCCACCTTTCTACTGTTACGATGCTTAAGCTGTCTTTTTTTATGTTGTCTAATAATCTTTTCATATATCATTTGCTTGGATTCCTTTCCCCCGTATCAGCCAGTTTTGTGTCAAACATATATATGTATTTAACTTTAATCTGTTAAGTAGAAAATAAATACTCATTTGACTCTCACAGATAAACTTTCATCTGGAATTATTCACAGTGTGTTTGCAACAGACTGTTATAAAATCCTAAGAATTTAGTAGGTTTCTGCTGGTATAAATATCTTATTTTGACCAAGATTTTTGCATGGCATTTATGAAAATTGGAAATTATTATGCCTACACACCATTGATTTCCATTCATTCAATAGTGTGCATTTTACCTATTTTATTTTGTTTTCTATGGTAAATGTGTGACAATGTATACATCATTATGCTGTTATTGAAATTGAATTGTAAATAACTAAAGAAGTATTTGCATTGTTGCTTTCAGTTTTAGTTGGAGTATAGATAAGCAGGGAAATCACTTAAACTGTTCAAGTCCTTTTCCCATTTTATTTACCACTGAGAATACTTGACTGAGAGAAATAGATGGTACTCCACTGAAACTTCTGTTTGCTTTATCAACAGTAGAAATGCAACAGACATTTGTTTTCTGTCACAAGTGAGAGTTCCTTCTGAAGCAGTCATTTCAGTTACTGCTAAGCATAAAACAAGGAAGGAGGGAAAAAAACCAGGAGAAAAATTGACCATTGTCCAAACTGTTTTGCCAACCAAACACGAGAGTTACTTATCACATATAAATCCATGGATGTAAGTTTTTAAGTATTGGCTTTTTGTCTAGGATTGTGAAAGCAACGTCTTTCTTTTCCCAAATGAAATCCTTATCCTGAAATTCCTATTTATTGTAAATAAGGCTTAAAAAGATAGTCCAGCTAAAAGTTTGATGAAAAAGAACACAGATTTTGAAATACTTCCCAGAAATATTCTGGACTGGAATTGTATATATACTATATAATGGAAGCTCAATAAAATTCAAGGATTTATAAAATGCTTTCAGAAGTTAGTGTTTTATTACTATTTGAAATCTCAAATCACAACAAGATTTGCGTACACAGAAATATTATTTTTAAAGCAACTGTTATTCAGTATTTACTTCACTACAGCATAGAAAACTTTTTCCTCAGTCTTGAAATAACACATTTTTACATTGCTTGAGGAAGCTACATAGGATATTATGCCTTGATTTGAAAGAATTCACTCAAAACCACACATTCTCTTGAAGTGGTGAAAATTCATCTATAATATCTAAGAAAATATCTAAGAAAAGCATCCTAAAATTACATCCTTATCTCACTTGACTTGGAAAGAGAAACTAATATACTTGAAAAAATAAAGTGTAAATAATTTAATGGGCTAATATTCAAGATGATGGTAAATCTCAGTTTTGAATCTGAATTAATTGTGTTGTTATGGTTTTCTTCCCCCGTATTATTTTCCTTGAAAAACTGTGTGTAGGGTATGTTTGGAAGTGATATTTTTATATGTGTATGAATTCACACGTGTCAGAAACACGTCATTATTACTTAGAACATAGTACAGGGACTGCTCCAAAAATGATGCCTTCTATTTTTATAGTAGTCCTCTACTTCAGAGGTGACTGGTTAGTGAAACTGCAGAAGAAGTTGGATCTTCTCACCAATTTTCCTTTAAACTGTATTGCATTGCAACAGATGTCTGCAGAGACAATCACAGAATCATAGAATTGCCAAGGTTGGATGGGGATCTCAAGGATCAAGTATCTCCATCCCCCTTGCCACATGCTGGTTCCTCCCTTGCGGTACTGAAAGGCTGCAATGATCCCCGCAATGTTCTTTTCTCCACGCCAAACAAGCCCAGCTCCCTCATCCTCTCTTCATAGGGGAGGTGCTCCAGTCCCTTGATTATCCTCGTGGCTCTCTTCTGGATCCTCTCCAAAGGTTCTCTGTCTTTTTTGTATTACGGGGTCCAGACCTGGACACAGTACTCCAGATGTGGCCTCACAAGAGCAGAGTAGAGGAGGACAATCACCTCCTTGTCCCTGCTGGCCACCCCTCTTCTGATGGAGCCCATTTGCTTTCTGAGCTGCAAGAGCACACTGTTGGCTCATGTTAAGCTTTTCATCTATCAAGACTCCCAGATCCTTCTCCGCAGGGCTGCTCTCAAGGATCGCTCCTTTCAGCCTGTATAGATACCTGGGATTCCTCCAGTCCATGTGCAAAACCTTGTACTTTGCTGTGCTGAGCATCATTAGGTTCACGCGGGCTCACCTTTCAAGTCTGTTGAGGTCACTCTGAATGCCATCCCTTCATTCCATTGTGTTAACCATACAACTCAGTTTGGTGTTGTCAGCAAACTTGCTGAGGTTTCACTCTATTCCATCATTGATGTCATTGTTAAAGTGTCCCAAAACAGAGGTCCCAAGACAGAACCCTGGAGGACAGCACTAATTTGTTTTTAGAAAGTAATTCCTATAAATTTATCCCTTTTTACATCAAATTTGGTTACAATAATCTTTTGAAATACAGTACATGTTTCTGTGGACTTTGTGTATGATCTGATGGTAGGTTTTTTTGTTTGTTTGTTTGTTTGTTTGTTTTTGAGAATGAAAAACTTGTTTTATAATGCTTGATTACAGCATGAAAGAAATGAGTGTGAAATTTTTATAAAATTCACTTAGTCATTTTTTGGAAACTAACTACAGATTGTTATATTTCAGTTCAACAGGACTGAAGTTTCTACCTTGATTGTGATGATAAAGTAGCTAATTAAATCTAAGATAACAACTCAGTTTCCATGTGATTAGGGTTATTATTTTTCATGTGCTATCATGGCATTTTCATCTGTATCTTAGAAAAGCCTGTGATATTCCTCTTACCTAAGATCTTGCCGAGTATGAGAGATCTGATTGCATTGAACTCTGTGCCTGAAGACAGAATAAATTTCATTCTTTCATTCTGGTTAACCTGCAAAATGGTATATTGAATAACAAAGTAGAATAATGAAGGTGATATTAGCTAAAATTTGCAAGAAAACAGGTGAGAATTAAAATTAAAAGAAGCAAGGGGAAAAGTTTGAAAGCTATACAATAAAAAAATTGATAATCAGCTTTCTCATCTCACTGGTTATAGCTGTGTTATTGTTTACGGATCCAAACCACTTTTGTTAAACCAAGCAGGATAATTCCTCCGTAGTCATTATAAGGGTAAATAAAACTGATAAATTTCTAAAACAATGAATAAAATTATCTCCATTTTTAAAAAGTTACTGAATATTTAATATATAACTAAAAATCAAATATTACACCGTAAAACTCTTCTTAGTGTACCTCTAGAACAAATTGTCATCAAATGTTTTATTAGTGCAAAATTAAACTGAGCTCTCTCCCCAAAGTGCCAGTATCCAACAATTAATGAGCAAATTGAATATTTCTATTCATCCAGTGTCCACAAAAAAAAGTATTCTTTAATAATCATATTCATTTCACATAAAAAGAATCAGTGAGAATAGTACGTTTAAATTATTATCTAAATATTAAACAACGTATAATGTTTAATCTGAAATGAAAATGAAAATCCAAGACCTCAGATTATTAATAATGATCACGTACTCATGAAAAACTAAAACAATTAATGGAAAATAATGAGGAAAATCTGACCTTTAGACAAAAGAAAAGATCCAGGAGATTGCCTAACCAGGTTTCCACTGCCCAGTATTTGTTTTGCTTTATTTGAGATAATAACATATATTTTGTTTGGAAGTAAGTATTTGCTGTCACAATTTATTACATTTGTTTTAAATGTAGTGTACTTTGATGATAAAACTCCTTTTTTTTTTTTTTTAATATAGCTGAAGTACCTCTACAAAGAGTATTTCCTTTTCTCTGTCAATCCTCACATGTTGTAGTTGTCCATCAGCCATACTTTTGAAGTTGATGCTGCAGACATCAGGATCTTGATGACTGTCTAGCTTGTATCTGATCTGTAAACTTCCTGCAATTATAAACAGAGTAAATGTTATAGTTCACTAACTGCACAACAGGCAGGGTAGATCATATATGTCTCCTTTATTTGAAAATAAAAATTATTTCTAAGGATTAACTCAACTGAATGATTAATGTGAGAAATGGAAGAAGGCAATAGAAAAGATAATCACTCAGGACAGTTGTGTTGGCAGCATTCTTGGACTCTGGGAAAATTAAAAACATGAAAATAGCCCAGACACCTTACTCAACAGCTGAGAATACAGCATGTACCATCAAGTTATGGCTAAAATATCAATTTAAATGAATACAAGATAATAATCTTACCTCAACTTTAACTATTAAGCTCTCCTGTATGGCAATAGGATGGCAAGATCTCCATTTGACTAGGGAAGCCTCTTGAGGTTAACACCTGATGCAGAAATCCCTTACTCCTTGATGCCAAGATTTCTTGTTGCTACAGATCCTTAGTAAATGATTAATAGCTTCCGAAGCTTAATAAACTTCACTAAGGTTATATATCAAGTTGCCTTTGAGCATAAAATCTTTTCAACATAAACAATTTATAAAGTCGTAGACCAGGACTCAACTGCACCTAGGCTATTTACCTCTTCAGTACAAACAGTTTAGGGAGTTCACTCTGAACCTCATAACTCAATGGGAGAGATTCCTCATCCATTGGACATAAGCTGTTGTCAACGTCTGGGACTGAATTTGGATCCACTTCTACATAGATTCCTCTGTGAAGGAGTTCAGAAAACAGGAGAGTCCACCTTGAATCTTATTATTAAATTTCACTATTATTGCTCTTGAATATTGTTTACACTGTCCACACCTGTAAATCTCTAAGGACATAAAGAATCAAGACTATCCCTCTTCCCAGTCTTGTTAACTTTCAGTATGTTGTCATTACACATATCACACAGGCTTTTTACGACAAAAGCATCATAGTTTTCTTATCAGAGTTAAGATGTAGAGGTACTGGAACTTTGTACTAGCTCACTGAAAGCAAAACCCTGTAAAAACTCTTGGCAGTCACAAGTAGAAAACATTCTCCCTGATTTGTTGAGGACACTAGTGTTATTCCTCATCCAAATCTGTGTCTGGAAAAGCCACATTCTCTTTGAGCATAGAGCAAGTGTGACTGCAAACAATCTTTTATACACTCAAAGATTCAACTCAGTCTGTGTTGTGTGGTTGTGTTTTTGTTTGTGTGTTTCTGCTTGTTTGCTTTTAATTGAATCTCTTGTCTAAAAACAAAAAAAAACATCTAAAAGTAAGACAAGGAAAAGGCAAGACAAAAAGAACATAAAACAAAGATCCAATTTAAATTTCATGTTCAGTTTAAATAGTAAAAATACAATTTGACATCTGCTATGTGACGTGGATTGGCACCTGATTAATTTTGAATATGATGAGAAATACATATTATAAATATATGTATAAACTCTCAAGAAGTATTTTATTATTTATCATTAGTAATTGACAATTCACTCTCTTTGGAAATAGAAGATACATTTTGTTGTTCAATTCAGATCGAAGTCTAAATACACACATATATGTATTTCTAAAGGATTTCCAGAAAAAAAATAACTTTGCCAGCAAGTTATAAAAAGCAATAGAAGTTGAAATTACAGCAATAGGAATGATTTGGGGATGGATAGCAATGCATATTAGAACTGAAAAGAAAAAAAAGATATATCTTAAAAAAAAAAAATTTGGTATTTGGTTCTGGGAATTAAAGTGAATCAGAGATGACAGCTATGAGGTTCATTATTGTTTCTAAACAGTCTAGCTGAAAACTCACCATTTCTGGATAAAATGACGGAGAGATATTCCTTGTAGAAGGAGCTGACATAAAGCAATAAGCTTGGTGTCCGTGTTGTTCGGAAGGCAAATGTAATTACTTCCCTGTTCAGAGTCATATCAGCATAGAAAGAAGAAGCGTGAGAACTGGAATTTTTATCAAAGGTGTAGTATTCTTGAAAACTGTATATCACAGAAGTGCCAGTCCCAAAATAAGCAGAGATCTCTGAAATGAAAAGCAATTCCATTTTTAAATATCATTCATAATAAGAATGAAATTCTGCCACAGGGGAAAAAGGACAGAAAAAAAGAAGTACATTAAATTATTGTGATAAATATATTAATACATACATAAAAAGGATTAATATGTAGAACTGTAAAGAATAGCAAGACTATTTCTGGGGCTAGAACTGGAAGACAGTTTCACATATGTTTTAAAGATCCATTGTATTAAGTACTTTTATTGTCTGTTTTTGAATATGGCATCTGCTTTTTAATATGATTTGTTTATTTATTGTCTGACATCCTCAAATCCACACATTTACTCATATGTATTTTCTACAGAAATATGGATGCAGGAGGTTAATCTCAGAACTAAACTTGTTTGCACTTGAAAATTGTTCAGGAAAAGAGAGTGGTCAGATGAAAGAAAAGAAGAATGCAACCAGGATTATGATCTTTCCAGGTATTAATCACACAGAGAGGGCAACTGTGTGTGTGCAGCACCTCATGGCAGTTTCCTAGTAAAAATAATTTTCTTACCCTATAATGCTTTCAAATATTAAGAAAAATTATTGAAATTGATATAACATGGTTCAGTTCCTTTGAAAGAATATATCAAAATTACTGTAGGTCAACCCATATATTCAGTAACAAGACCCACTAAGCCACAGCAAACTAATAATCATGGAGTGTAACCATTAACCTCTTCTCTTTGCTGAAAGCATATCATTTTTCATCCATGGTATTAGCTTCACAGTGAAAGACATGGAAGGAATTAGGCCTTTATTGAGGTGGCAGTAGTCATGGCAGTAGTTGCTAGGCTGATGTGCCCACAAGTTTAGAGGAACCTGAAGTTATAGCATTTAAACCACAAAGTACTTTGCAGAATGCATTTAATGCATGAAGGAAGAAGAAATTTAAAAAAAATAAGAATTGTTTGCAGACACAGTATTTTCTAGATGGACTTCATTCTTAATGATTTTTAATTACCCATGTTATAACACTATGAGCAAAGAACTTCTTTAAAATGGACAATAGTAATAAAGTCTTAAGGATTTTTGGTTTCTTGATTTATTTTTTAAATCTAGTTTTTCTCTGCTGATATTCTAATTAGTCTTTAAGACTCGAAAAGCAGAAATCCAAAAATTTGTTAAGCATATTATTGCTATCTGAATTAAGAAATCTATTATATAACATTAAAGAAAGCATACTGGTAGGTATCTGAAAGGTATAGCTTTTTTAAAACAGAACACGTTGAATGTATCTCCAGAGGACAGTGCTAATAAAACACTTACTGAACACATTCAGTTGAATGACAATATTAAGTATAACAAACACATTGAAAGCATTTAGATATATCTTTTAAGAGCAGTAAAGACCATATTCTGCTGCTATTTTCAAAACTGATGAAGCTGGAAGTCGGGCTTGCCTTTCTTACAAAATGGCCCAGCATAGGCAGAGAAAGTGCAGTCACAACTGAATCCACTGTACTTCTCTGTGCATTTTCCACCATTGTGACACAAGTTACCATAGCTGCTACAATGTCCAGGACACCCTGGTTCAACTCCTGGTGTTATCTTAGCTCTCTCTTCCAGGTCAAGGGCTATTCCATTTAGCTGTAATGATCGAATACATCCCAAGAATCCTTTCTGCCGGGATGCTGTTCCACCTGAAAAAAAAAAAAAAAAGAAATTCCATATATTTCTAAACATTCGTGATAACAGATGTGTAAAAATTTATTCATATTTTATAGCTCTTAAACAGTTTAGTGCAAATTTCAGTCTCAAAGAATGACAGAAACAGAATTGTAGGGTTTGAAGGGGGTCATCCAGACCAACCTCCCTTCTATAGCAGGTTCCTTTCAGTGAATTACACAGGAATGTGTCCAGATGGGTTTTGAGTATTCTCAGAGAAGGAGACTCTGTAGCTTCTCTTGGCAGCTTGTTCCAGATTTCTGTCACCCTCAATATAAAAAAGTTTTCCTCATGCTCATATAGAACTTCCTATGTTCCAGTTTGAACCCATTGTCCTATGTTCTCTTGCACCACTGAGGAAAATCTGGCCCCATCTGCTTGGCTTACACATATTAGTAATTTATGAGTAATGATAAGATTTCTTCTCACTTTTAACCCTAGGCTGATCAGACCAGGATTACTCAGCCTTTCTTCATAAGGGATATGCACCAGATCCCTCATCATCTTTTTGGCTCTCTCTAGAAGTTTCCTATTTATCTTGAGCCAAGAAACCCAGAACTGGACACAGTGCCCTAGATACGGGCAGAATAGAAGGTTACAACCACTGACCTACTGTAAACACTCTTTTAAATGCAATGTGGAATAGCACTGTCTTTCTTGGTCACGAGGACATATACTGCTCATGATGAATCTGTTGACCATCAAGAGCAATTCTGTCCTAAGTTATTTCAACATAATTGTAAAACCCATGAGGGACTTCAAGATATATAGTGCTATAATGAATGCTACTTTGTTTTAATATCAGGACATTCAATAATATTCAAGGAGGGAAAACACATAAATAAAGAACAGCAAGACAATAAAAACTATCAGAAGCAAAATAACAAAATTACTATTCTCCAGCAAATTATTCACCTAACATTATCTGAAAACAAACTGGACAACTTGATTACAGATGTGTCAAATTTTTTTTTTACCTCCATAAAAGCGGTAAGTATATGTAGGTTTGCCAGAATCTCAAACTATTTGACAAAGAGAGTCAAACACCTTTTGTCAAATAATTTGACAAAAGAAACATTTGATTTGGTGGTTCATTATTTAATAAAATTTACTGTGAAGTACTACTATCAATACAAGTCAGTACAGTTTTCAATAATTTCACAGAGAAGGATTATTTAAAAGAGAGATCAGCTCACATTCTCATTACCATTAAAAAACTATTTCAATTTAATTTTGCCAGAAACACCTGTAGAATTTCTTCATCTTCCTTTACATATCAAATCTGGTATGTTCAAACTGATATATTTTCAGCTGTTCATATTTGCATGAAAATAAAACTGGAAATAGAGCAACATAATTTATAGGTACATTAAACAAAAAGTTACCAGTCTTTTTAGTGTTTTCTAGTTCGTTCTTATCAATTTAAACAAATTTTAAGGCTCTTACTAACTTTGCAGCAGCTAAAAACATGGGTATTTTTGTTGAAAATTACTCCTCCATACTTTTAACCAAAATAAAATGATTTTGAATGATTTAGCCTCCATTTTTTCCCTTTATGTTTTTTTAGCTTTACTTCTAAGTTCTGATTGCAGTGTAAAGAGGTTACCTCTCTATTTTTTTCCTAAGGGTTAGTAATTTATTTAGTTACATTTAGTGTCATAATATTACTACCTTTAGCTTCCCTCCTTCTTAAAATGCAGCAACTAAAAATAATATAATTTAATCTGATGCATCTTGCAGCAGAATTTAAAGATAAAAAATTTTGTAAAGGTTAAGCAAAGTTCACATACTTTTACACTGTACATCAAAAAACTACACCAAAAATTCACATGTGAAAGAATATACCAAGATTATGGTAAGAACACTAATATATTGTGATGTATCATAACACAATGCTGTGGAATAATTAGATAAACATTAGGTCCATTTTAAAATTAATTTTCTTTCTGCTTTTCACCTATTTTATCTAAATACATGAAATTTTCTGAAGAACAAATATTCATGTAAATTTCATTTTTTCAAGCTTTCATGAATTTGGTCGGAAACAATCATAAATCTGTACTTCTCCTGGTTAAGTGACATCAAAGAATAATCTCTTTATCTCATTTACCATACTAAGTAAACACAGTCTAATTATTTCATTAAATGCATTAGAAAAGGGCAGAAGACTATATTTCTTAGTTGTTCTTCAAACAAACCTCAAAAAAAGTTTAACTGAAAATGTACCTGGTAATAAGTACAGGACAAAACAGTGAATTTCTAATTTCAAGACAGAGCTACATCTCAACGGATTTTAAATGAAGATTTTAATCTCATTGCACAAACTTCTTTCAAAAGACTCACTTTGCTATGTTTTTTCCATGCTACTTTTTTTTTTTTTTTCTTTCCTCCTGTCAAACTTTCATAATGGCAATTAGAAAAGATTCTGGTGAATGAATGCATACCTACAAAAAGCTGGCTGTTGAGTTGCAGACGAAAATGCCCATCAGGTGGAGCAGCATGAGACTTTTGAGGAATCTGATCTACTTGTAAGGATGCCTCTTTGATGTTTCTTTCAGCTTTCACATAATGCCACTGGTTGTCATTCAAGAAAGTGAGTGACTGCACTTTAACTTCATTAGGTCCATTTCCAACATCGAATGAAAAAATCACTTCATATGGAGCTAAAAAGAACACATCAATATTTATATAAACATTTAAATTATTTTGCAGTGATCACAAAAAGCATTATACAGTAGAGCAAGTTTTAGTCTAAGATCTAGAAAATAATTTTACCTGAGAAGAGCCAGATCAATTGGCAGATATATGAATATTGACCAACCAAGTGACTTTTGCTAAATGTGAATAGGCAAAGAGTTTCTCTGCAGCAGAACTGCTCTCATGGAGTTATTTTCCAAGTCTGGAGACATAGCTGGATTTGCCCAAACATAAGTGGAACACCATGCCTTTGGCCTTGTAAAACTTCATTAGTTTCACAAAGACTTTTCAAGACTGTCCCATTCCCTCTGGATGGCATCCCTTCCTTCCGTTGTTTCAGCTGCAACATTCATCTTGGTGTCATCTACAAACCTGCTTAGGGTACACTCAATCCCATCACTGTGGATGCCCCATCTCTTGAGGCATTCAAAACCAGGCTGGATGTGGTTCTGGGCAGTTGGATAGTGGTTGGCAAACCTGCCCACAGCAGGGGGGTTGAAACTAGCCTTCTGAAGTCCTTTCAGGCCATTCTATGATTCTTTGATTCATTCTGTGCCATTCATTCTCTGTCATTGATAAGGATACTAACAGGTACCAGTTCCAAGATTGAACTGTGAAGGATACTACTGAAGCATAATCATATATGAAAAGAAATAATCCTTAAACATGGGATTACCAATTATCAATATTATAAAATATTAAGAATTTGAATAAAGGACTAGAGAACTGAGAAATTCCTGTTAATCTAGCAGAAAAGCTCTCATTGTACTGCACTACAATCCAAGAGAAAAGAAAGATTAGAAATAACTGAGGAGAATTAAAGACTGCAAATATTTAAGAACATAGTATGCTGGCTCCTGTTCATCACTGACCAAAGTGTTACCTTCTGTAGTGAGGTCTTATGATACTTCTAAGTAATGCTGAAGTCTGAAAAAACAAATTCTTCTCTAAAGTCACTAAATGAGCCTATGAAATTGCATATTAGAATGACAGATGAATATTAATGGTAACTATGTTTCGAAATAGTGCTTTATGGCTGGGAATCTGTTCCCTCAAATAGCATCATTGTACTCCTTTTATCTGTTGTAGTTTCTATGACAGTAAACAGGAGGCATTGTTTTCAAAGCAGCTGAAGTAAAATAAAACATAATGTGCAGTCAATTTTAAAGCAGAACTTCTTCTATTATAGACAGATTTCTTTTCTGCATAAAAATCATCAGAGCTCCATAGAGAAATAAGAAATAATGATTACCTAAAATAATTTCATTACTGAAATGAAATTTGGGAAAATTCTGTGTCTTTTGGACACATGAAAACTCAGTCTACTTGTACTGTAAGACAACAGAAAAAAAACCCAAACATTAGAACTAAGGGGATAGAAACTATGTGACTGCGTAAAAAGAATTTCTGCTGAATGCTACCTTCTGTAGTGAAGTCTTATGATACTTCTAGGTAATGTTGGAGTGAAGTCTGAAAATACAAATTCTTCTCTAAAGTCACTAAATGAGCCTATAAAATTGCATATTAGAATAACTGATCTGGTAAATAATGTGGCTGTTTAGATTTTAAACATAAGAAAAAAACCTGGAAGACAGTTTGAAATCAATAAGAAAATAATGGATTATGTTAGCATTGCTAAAAAAAAAAAAAAAAAAAAAAAAAAAAAAGTAATGTAATCTAGATCTAGGAAACCAGTCCAAGAAGTTCCAAAGACTGACTTAATTATAATTATAACCCTATGTGCTTCTGGTGGAATATGATCAAAATATATCAAAAAAGAGATAAATACATTTTATAATACTTTGAGCAACTCTGATGCAATCAACAGCACTGCAAGCTTAGAAGAAAATTAGCTTTTAAAACTACCATGGTCAATCTACCTTTGGATATTTTGCCACAGGATATAGAGAGATGCTGACTAAGTTCTAAAATATGTCCTCTTGTGATGAAGAATCAGGTCAAAGAGCGCTATGTGGGTAGATAAAGAAGCTCTGTACTGGAGCATAGCTATTCTGCTGTAAAAATGTGCTGTGGTCCCTATTTGCCTTTATGTTAGATACAAATATTCCAAACACTGTGGAGACTCTTGCAACCCTAATGCATTTGAACTTAGGCAGAGCACAGGCACAGACTGGCAAAGTGGATTGGAAGATGCAGTCAATAGTGATCGTGGATCAGCAGCTAACTGTAGCTAAAATGACTAACAAAAAATGCAGTCAACAGGACATGCTGAATCATTTAGAGTACCAAGACAATGTTACATGCAGAAGGAAAAAGCGATTTCCAAATAATAATAACAGAATACAACAACTGAGCTTTTTCAATAAAGAAAAGATAGCTTTCCACTCATACTGAACAATAAGTTGCAAATTTGCGTGGTAGGTTGACAGCAGCTTCAACTAGATCTTTTTTAAGCTACTTCTATTATAGATCAAAATTATTAAAGTATTGTGTTCCCTACACTACCTTTAATGACTTTTTATCACATTATTACAAAATAAGAAATAATCCTTCCATGAACGCTTAGGTAAAATAGTTTCTTGGACTACAGTTTGAGAATATAACTTGCAGTCATATGAGTAATACAGGTACTTAGAAAACTTTCAGAGATGAACTAACCTAGTTGCTTTGAAGAATTATCTGTGCAGAACACTACAGGAACTCAGAAAAAAGTTTAAAGTTTTGAGGTTTCTTCATTTCTTTGGGGGGAAAAAAAGAAAACATAATAAAAATGATAATGATTTTGTCTTAAAAAATAATTATTCTGTGTTTTAAAATGCAGTTAGTATAAAAAAATTATGTTTTTGTAGAAGCTTTCTAGAAAATCATGTATGAACTGAAGTATTTATAATGGTTTATAAAAACTAACAGATCTAAAATTCACTTTTCCTGATTTGATTATTGAACTGTTTCTTTTGTTTCAGTGAAGTTGGGCTTTAAAGATTATATCTAATGCTTCTATTTATGACAAAATAAAGATGGAGAACAATCAATAAAATGCTAAGAAAAATTTTGTTAGGAAGTATGTAATGCCATATATTAATAATATATTAGTTTTAAATCATTTCTACCATGTCCTCATCTGAAACACTGAACCTGAAATTTTCATCATCGTATTATTATACTGATCTGTGAAACTATTAATAGCATATGAAGTGTAAGTTGGTGAGTTAAAATCTATTCCATATGATTATATGGTAATGCCTAAATGAATCTGTACAATAAATTATGTTAATAATGACTGATATTGCCTTTAGTACAAAGATATAATTCTGTTTTCAGAATAAACAATACTGCACATAAAAAAGAATAGTTTTTAAAGTTCACTCACTGAATTATGACCTTCTCTGGAAGTGAAGAAATGTTTTCAGGTTTGATGAACAGTGTAATAAAGTTTTAAATTATGATTCAAATGCTGAAATAACAGGCAAATTCAGCTTTCTCTAATGCCTTGTTAGTCACAAGTCCACAAAACCACAATATATAATACTTTGCACAACTGAAGGATACTCATGAAGGAATGTGACAAATGACATGAGTTTGTCTGCATATTATTACCATAAAGACAGACTTATGCTATCTTGTCCACTGTCCAGAAAATCCAGAAAAATTTATTTATTAGAAGAATTTTTTCTAAAGTTTCCATTGAGTTTGGAAAAGCATCAAAAATGTCATGGAGGAACATTGTTATTGCTTCAGAGAATTCCCACTGAAGTTCTGACCTAGCATACTTTCTGTATTGCTTGGCACTGAGATTATTATCCTAGTGTGTTTTCACCTATTCACAGAATTTTAACAGAAAGCAATTAATGGTGAACATGTTAAAAAGCACTAATGAAAATAAGGTAACTTCAGAATATGCTTTGAGACTGAAAACAAAAAAAAGCATTAGAGAAGATTCTATAATTAAATTGTAAACAAATCAAAACAGAAGGGGCTTTTTTGCTATTTTTAATAATGCAACTAGTTAACACTGGTAAACAAAACCCAACATTTTAATTTTTAATACAGATACACTAATGTTTATAAAGTAATATTTTGTATGATTAATATGCATTATACACATATATATTTATATAATTTATATCATGTGCAAGAAAATATTTGAAGTTGATCAATAAGAAAATGAGACAAAGATAAAAGCAAAGGGGCAAAACAAAATGATATGGGGAGAAATGCCAAAGCTACATCAGGAGTAATAACAGTAGTAAATCTAAAGAATGTATTTTAAATACTCCCCCATTAGTTAATTCTTATATATTCAGATTAAAATTTAAAATAATAATATTAGTAATATTAATAATAGTAATTAAAAACAAACCCCAAAACCTTCAATGTAGCTACTTACAATACAATTCTATCCTTATGAAGTCTTGAATTCCCAGGTTTTCTAAAAACATTCCAGAGGAAGCAGTAGTTTTAAAGAAAAACGATACATCCGCGCTGAATTCTCCATGGAAAGTAGGGAAATGCAGATAGGACATTTCTGTATTGAAGGATGCTGAATTCCAAAATGCTCCTGGTTGTCAAAATGAAAGTTGAAATGATACACAAAATGTTGACCTATATTGCCAGTATACATTTTGTAACCATTTAAGTAAAGGAAAGTGCCCATGTATAAAAAGGATTTTCACTGTTCAGAGCACATATTCACAAAACAGTGAGACAATACAAGAAGTTAAGGTGCTCTGTTCTGGCAACCAGAATTCAGTAATGAGAAGTTAAATGCTTGGAATCTCAGTTAAGGCCTGATGTATCCTTTTTGGGTACAAACATCTGAATGGCTTTGAATGAAGAACTATCAGTCTTGAATAGCTTGTATGAATGTCAGTATCTGGAAAAGGTAGACAGAACATTACTTTGGATTTTACTGAAAAGCATTTACAAAATAAAGTTGTGATCAATATGGGTTCATAAAGGGAAGTCCTACATGAGTTATTATCTCTTTCCACAATAAAACTTAGCAGATGGTGAATATTCCCGAGTTTTGGTAAGGTCTTTGATAGTATCCAAGACTGTATCTGGGTAAATTGTCCAACTGTGAGATGAACAGGTATCTGTTACACTGGATGGTGAACTGACTGAGCTCAAAGTTTCATACTGAATTGAGAAATGTATATTTGGTAATCAGTCACTAGTAGTGATCCCCAGAACTCAGTTCTGGAGCCAGTTTCTCCCTTTTCCCCTTCCCCCTCTGCTTCACCTGTACCTTTCCCCTTTTCACTTTCTAAAAGAAAGAACAACTGATGAAATCTACCTGAAATTCTGCAAGGCCCTCACATCATATTGTTGTCTTTAAATTAGAAATATACAGATTTGATGGGTGGACTATTCAGTGGACAAGAAATTGACTAAATGGTCACCATTAATTGATTAAATGGTCTACCAGGGCGTTAAATGTGGTTAAATGATCTGTATCCAGGAGGACGAAAGTGATGAGTAGTGTTGCTCTGCCTTGGGACTGATATTCTTTGAAATTTTTAGCAATGATCTGGATAGTGGGATTGAGTACATGCTCAGCAAGTTTGCTAATGACACTAAGTGGAGTGGTGCAATTGATACAAAAACAGGAAGGGATGCCATTCAAAGGGATCTGGACAGGAGTGAGAAACTGGCCCACAAGAACCTACTGAGGTTCAACAATGACAAGTGCAAGATGCTGAACCTTGGTCAGGGCAAACCCGGCTTTATGTACAAACTGAGAGAAGAATTCCTAGAAAGCAGTCTTGTGAAGAAGGACTTGCAGGTTCTGGTGGATTAAAAGCTTGATGCAAGCCAATGGTGTGCCCTTGCAGCCCAGTAAGCCTACTTTATCATGGGCTCCATCAAAAGTAGAGTGGTGAGCAGAGTGAGGGAGGTGATAGTCCCCCTCTGTTCTGCCCCTCTGGGGTTCATCTGGAGTACTGCATCCAGGCTGGGATCTCTGGCTGTGGGACTAGATCCAAAGGAGAGCCATGAAGATGATCAGAAGGCTGGAGCACTTATCCTATGAAGAAAGGCTAAGGAAGCTAGGCTTATTCAGCTTACAGAAGAGAAGAGAATGGGCCGATCTCACTGTATTCTTCCAGAAATTAAAGGGAGCTTATATGCAGAAGGTAGACCAACATTTTACAAGGTCTAATTGTGATAGGAAAAGGGAGAATGGTTTTAAACTAAAAGAGGAATGATACCGATATTAGGACAAAATTCTTTACTTACAGGGTGGTGAGACACTGGCACTGGCTGCTCAGAGAAGTGGATTCCTCATCGCTAGAGGTGCTAAAGGTCAGGTTGGATGGGTCTCCATCAGGCAACAAGCTTGCCTCAGGAAGACTGTGGCAACCCATAGAGAAGGCCAAGAATGTGGCTGTACATGCCTTCAGCTACAGGGAGTCCCTGAGCCTGCAGCTACAGGACAAGGGCAGCAGGAATTCTACCTGCATGAGGTGTGAGCAGCTGGAATATCTGCTCAACATGGTAATAGACTTCAAGGAGGAGATGGAGAGATTAAGGAGTGTTTGGATGTGTGAGTAGGAGGTTGACAGATGGAATAATTCCCTTTCATACTACAGGAACTTTGGATTCGTTGATCATGGGGTGATTTACTTGGCACTTGGCCTAATGGCTGCAAACACATGTCATCTGTCTCTAAAAGGGAAATGGATCTTGGCCCATGAGCTGTCAGAGCTCATTGAGATGGCTTTAAACTAGGTTGGATAAGGTAAGGGGACACAGAATTCTCTTGTAGGACCTTGTGGGGACTCCTCAGAGGAGTTCATGTTATCAACACCTTGCCTGAAACCTTCTAATGTCCCTCCAGGAAACAGTGAGGAAAAACTTCAGATTCCTACCAGGTTTGAGGGAAGGCTTCTCTGGAAAGGTAATGTCTCTGAAAGCCCAGCTGAACTGTTTTCACAACAATACACACAGCATGGCAGCAAGAGGAGCTGGAAACAGTGGTGTCCTTCGAAAATTACAATCTGTTTGCTATCACACAAATGTGGAGAAGTGACTCCCATAACGATTACACTGTAGAGGGATATTGCCTTTTTAGAAGGGACAGACTAGATAGGAGGGGTGAGGGAACTGTTCTTAAAGCATGAATAGACAGTGAGGAGCTCCCTCAGAAAAATAGTGAGGAGTGGACTGAAAACCTGTGGGTTAGAATAAGGGATAGGAATAATAAAGGGCACCTCCTAGTAGGGATGTATTACAGGCCACCCGATTAAGGTGAGACCCTCTTCCTTCAGCTGCGAAAGGCATCATATTCTCAGGTACTCAGGATGATGGGGGATTTAAATCACCTGCATATCCACAGGGAAAACTGCATGGCAAGCTGTAAGTGATCTAGTCAATTACTGGAGTCAAAGGATGATAACTTTTTGGTTCAAGTGTTGAATAGACCGACCAGAGTTTGATCTGCTGCATCTGTTCAGCCATGCAGAGGAGATCATTAAAGGCATTACGACTGGAGGCAGCCTACGCTGCAGCAACCATGCCCTGGTTGAGTTTGTGATCTTGATGAATGTGGGTCTGGCAAAAAGTGAGGTCAGGATCCCCCTCCTGAGGGATCGGAACGGGCACGTACTGTAACAGGACCCAAAACTTTGGGAGAGCAAACTTCAGCTTGGAAGCTGTCCTTAGAGACAAGGGAGCAGAAGGAAGCTAGATACACCTTAAGGATGCCTTTCTGAGAGTCCAACAGCTCTCTACCCCTCAAAATAAGGAATTGGGCAGGGGAGACAGGATGGTTTGACAATGACATTCTTGTAAGACTAAGAGGGAAAAGAAAGGATTGTACCAGCTGTACAAAGGAGTGTCACAGAGATGCTGTCCAGACTTGCAGAAAGGGGATTAGGAAAACCAAAGCACAGATGGAACAGAACCTGATGGGGTGTATAATCAGTGGATATTAAGATGTTATAATCACAGAATAAACAAGAGAGTTAGGTGAAGTAGATTATGATAACAAAAGAGAATAAATGGAAGGCTTACCCTTAGTTCTCACCACAAAACACCAGAAGGAGGGATCTCCAGACGAGATCCTTCCCCACTGGTAGCCAGCTCTTAAATAGGTCTATGAGAGGTGGAGACTGGCTCCACCTCTTCCGGCAGCACAGGTGAATTGCCTTCACCTGTGCTCCTCTGGCTGACTCATGACTCGCCTCAGGTGATCAATCAGAGGTTCAGGCCGTGACTCAGCAGTTCCCATACATGGGGGAATGTTAAAAACAACAAGATAAGATTCTATAGGCATGTTGGCCAGAAGAGGAAGGCCAAAGAGAGTGTTCCTCCTATGGTAAATGAGAAAGGAGAACTGGATACAACAGATATGGAGAAGGCTGAGGTACTGAATGAGATTTTTGCCTCATTCTTCCCTAGCAGTCAGGAGTCTTGTATTTCTCACACCCCTGAAGCTCATATCCTTGAGTCTCTAGGTGACCACTGGGGGAGTAATTTCTCCCACCTCCCCCACCATAAGGGCAGAGCAAGTCTGAGACTGCCTTGTGAAACTGAATGTATACAAGTCTATGGGGGCAGATGGCATGCATCCCATGGTCCTAAATAGCTGGTTGATGTGATTGCTAAGATGACCTCCATTGTATTTCAAAAGTCATGGCTGTTGGGCAAAGTGCCTGGGGAGTGGAGAAAAAGGAAACATCATTCCCATTTACAAGAAAGGGAGGAAGGAGGATCTGGAGAGTTCTCCAGATCCTGGAGATCAGGCTGGTGAGCCTGGGAATATCATGGAACAGATCCTCCAAGAAGATGTGTTAAGTCACAAGCAGATGATCTGAGACAGCCAAGGGAAAGCCTTCTGGAGGCTTTCTGAGATGGACTTCAGTGGGCAAAAGGAAGTGACCAATGTCATCTACATGGACTTGTGCAAGGCCTTTGACACAGTCCCCTACCACAGCATTATCTCTAAATTGGACAGATACGGATTTGGGGGGTGGACTGCCTGGTGGATAAAGAATTGGTTGAAAGGCCATAGACAAAGTATTGTGACGAATGGCACTATGTCTAGATGGAAGATGGTGACAAGCAATGTCTTGGTTTTTTGGTGCTTTTCAACATAGAATCATAGAATTGCTTAGGTTGAAAAGACCTTAAAGATCAAGTCCAACCACAACCTAACAATACTACCCTAACTCTAAGAACTGTCTGCTATATTCCTGAACACATCCAAACACATTCAGGAATGTGATTCACTTTTTTAAACACATTCAGGAGTGATGACTCAACCCCCTCTCAAGGGAGCCTATTCCAGTTCTTAACAACCCCTTCTCTAAGAAAGTTTTTCCTGACATTCAACCTAAACCTCCCCTGGCACAACTTGAGGCTATTTCCCCTTGTCCTATCACCTGTCACAATTATGAAGAGACCAACCCCGCTCTTGCTATAATTACCTTTCATATATTTGAAAAGAGCAATAGGGCCTTCCCTCAGCCTTCTCTTCCCCAAACTTAACAGCCCCGGGTCCTTCAGTTGCTCCTCATAGGGGATACTCTCCAAGCCGTTTACATGTCCTGTTGTCCTTTGGACCTGCTCCAGCACCTCGGTGTCCTTCCTGTACTGAGGTGCCCCAAACTGAAAACAGTACACATCTTATTCCGATCTGAATTATCCCAAGATTCTTTCTCCTAACCCCATGATTTCATAGTTCTATGATATGAGTTAGAAGTTCAAAAATGTATGCCGTAGAAGAGAAAACAAAACACCTAACAGTTTTGTTTTGTTTTTTCCCATGTCTCATAAAGGTTCACAAGAAAATTAGAATGCACTTCTTCAGGACAAGTCTTCCTAATTACACTCACAAGTCAGAGGAATGAAATTGAAGATGATCCTATATTGAAATAAATGCATACTAATTTGTTGATACATGTAATAATAATTTGCTAATACATGTAGTCTCCTGAGTAAGTTTAAAAGTACAGATCAGTATTTTTTACTGATGTTCACTTATTTTTAATCAGAAAAGTTAAATAAATTTGGCAAAGGAGAAAATAAAAGCAACCATAGAACAAAAATAACCACAAAAGATGATGAAAGAATATCACATAACAAAAAAAAAAAAAAAAAAAAAAAAGTAATTTATGAAGCACTGTGAAGAATTTCAGGCAAATAAATAAGGATTAATGAAGATTTTAATCCCTTACTATATACCAATTCAATGCTTTGTTTGAGATCTTTAGTATGATGTTTTTCCTCTTCTAAGTTTTGATTAGAAGTAGTAGAAATATACTATAGGTATGGTAATAAATGCCATATAATGTATACTATACTAACTATGCACTATGCTGATCTTCATTATGTATCCTCAAAAAATAGTTCTTTATAATTCTACTTTGGATTTGAATTGGCTGCTTTGCTTTTTTTTTTTCCTTTTCAATTACTGAAAGATTGGATAGAACTTTTACAAAGTCATGGCCTAGGCTGTTTAATAGATGATTCTCAAAACTTATTATAGACAAGGTCTGTTGTTATTAAGAAAAAACTCTGTAATTGTTACTTACTGTCACCACGACAAAGTAAAGGCCCCAGTCTGAAAGCTGCTTCAGAATTTGGTCTGTCAGTGTCTGTGATCACAATTTCAGTTACTGGTAGATGCTCCTTGTAGGAAAGCAATCCAGTATCACTAGTCCTGAAAGGGCAAAATGAAAGCTCTTTCAAGTATCTCTGTGATTCTGACAAATGTTTCAATATTACTGACATATTGTTGAAGAAAAATATATAATTAAATTTCTAAATTCTGAAAGATAAAGTTAAATGTCTTGGCATAACTTTCCAGCAAGTTTAACACGTTTTTGTTTGTTTGTTTATTTTTTCATTTCTGAAAAAAAAAAATCAAATAGAAAAACATGAAGTCACAGTGAGTGTACAGGAAAAGAATTATCTACTTCAAATAAGTAAAATACAGAAAAAGAAATAAGAATCCCAGTGACCTGAGCCCATGCCTACTACTGCTAATTTCAGACAGAACTCCTTATTTAATGTTTTTTGTTAATTTAGTGTCAGAACCGACCTAGTAGGCTTTAGTAAATTTCAGAAAACTCCAGTACTGGCTCAAAGATTTTTTCTCAAGATCTCATGGAAACGTTCAATCTCTAGAATGCTCGGGAGTATTCTAGAAAGTTCAGTTTGTCCATTAGATCAATTTCTACCTGAATCATCCTTCAATAGTCAAGGTAAAGTCAGAGACAAGTGAATAAATTGAGAGACAATAGTTCATCTGGAAATCACACTGGTTAGGGGTTAATCAACAAAATTAACCAAGAGAATGGGAAGAGATTCCCTCCTTAGGCTCAATGAAATCGGTTATTTAGCTGAGGAAGTGTGGGATAGTTGAGTGGATGGTGAAGTGTGTTAAGAACTAGCTGACTGGCTGAGCTCAGAGGGTTGTGAACAGTGGTACAGAGTCTTGTTGGAGACCTGTGACTAGCAGTGTTCCCAAGGGATTGATGTTGGGTCTGGTCTTGGTCATGGGTGACCTTAATGTGGAGATAGGGTCCACCTTCAATAAATACACTGATGATACAAGGCTGGGAGGAGAGGCTGACACACCGGAAGGCTATGCTGCCATTCAGTAAGACCTGGACAGACTGGAGAGCTGGACAATAGTAATCCAGATGAGGTTTAACCGCAAGTGCGGAGTCTTGCACCTGGGAAGGAATAACCATCAGTACAGGTTAAGGCATGACCTGCTGTAGAAAAGGTCTGTGGGGAAGAACCAGCAGGGTCCTGGTGGATGACAGATTGGCCATGAGCCAGCTTGTGTCCAAGAAAGCCAACGGCATCCTGGGGTGCATAAAAAGAAGCATGGCAAGTAGGTCAAGGGAGTTGATCCTCCCCCTCTTCTCTGCCCTGGTCGGGACTCACCTGGAGTATTTCACCCAGTTCTGGGCTCCCCAGTACAAGAAAGACAAGAATCTCCTGGAGAGAATCCAGCCGACAGCCACAAAGATGATGAAGAACCTGGCACATCTTCCTTATGAGGAAAAGTTGTGTGACCTGGGTCTGTTCAGCCATGAGAAAAGACTTAGAGAGTGTATGATCAATATTTACAAGCACCTTTAGTATGAGAGTCAGGGAGACAAGGCTTTTTTTCAACTCTTTTCAGTGGACTGTGGGGGCAGGTCCATAAACTGGAGCATAGGAAGTTCTATACAATTACGCAGAGGAACTTCTTCGCAGTAAGGATGATGAAGCACTGGAACAGGCTGCCCAGAGTGGCTGTGGATTCTTTGGACCTAGACATCTACCTGTGCAGCTTGCTGCAGGGGGCCTGCTTTGCAAGGGGGCTGGACTCGATCTCTGGAGGTCCCTTCCAGCCCCTACAATTCTGTGATTCTGTTATTCTGTGTTTTTTTTCTTTTCCCTTTGCAATCATCATAATCTTTCTCAAAATAACTTCTTTGTTCATCTGTTTTGCAGCGTAGTGCAAAAAATGCTAGTTTTTTTCTGCGAACTTTTTTTTTTTTAATGAGAAATGCTAACATTTGAAAGCAATACTTATGCTAATTTTTGACATAGTGAGATACTGCAAATTAGAACTGAAAATTTCTTGAAGCAATTTAAAGTTTCTCCTTCATTAAAACTATGCTCCAAGTAAAAAACAACTAAGCAGAAATTGTAACTACAATTCTTTGTGCTCAAAAAACATCTCGATGACAGCTGTAATTACTTTTCTTGATCTCTGAAGCATTGAAGCAACCGATTCAAACCAGTAATCACTGGGGACTCACACGTAATACTAAGCATGTATCACTACCAAAATAAGTGTAATTATAGCTTTAAATAAAATAAAATAATTAAATTAAATAATAAAATTTGTTTCAAGAGTTTAAAAACTTAAAAGTTTATTAAATGAAGTTTATTAAAAGTCCCAGTCTGCTTTTAATGTTTTTTTTTCTTTTTTCTTTTTTCTTTTTCTTTTTTCTGAGAAAGCTAGTTCAGATCCTCTTTCAGTAGAAAATCTATGTTTTGGAAATACCTAAACTTTCTTAGAATAATTTGAATATATAAGTTCTGCTGATAATTAGAATGTCCAAGCTTAATAAAAAAAAAATTAAAAGGATCAAGTTTGAACTGTAAAAATTGTTAAAAATGGTGTTTAACATTCCCTAGAATTTCTAGCTTTTTTCCCCCCCAGAACCTGTCAGCTTTAATTGTTTCCAGTATTCTATAAACAAATGACTGTAGTTGTACAGACAAGAGCCAACACCTTAAAATATAAGTTTACTTGAAAATTAGAAGAACTCTTGTTAAAATAAATCTTAACCTAATTCAGAATATAAATTGAAAGAACTAAAAATAACTGAAAATAAAACATATTATTTGTAATCGTCTAACAGTGTTATCTTAAAGAAACAGATGACACTATGTTAATTTATGTTTACAATGGTCTTGGTGTTCAGAATCTGCAAAGGCCTGTGTTTCTTTATTTGCATTCCAGGACAAAGTGTTATGAATAAACAGCAATTGAAAAAATCACCATTCATTTCTGTCGGCATTGCAGTTGCAATAATGCTGGGAATCAATGCATCTCCCTTCCAAGCCACAAGCGCATTTCTGAACAGCAGGCAAAGAACCTCCCCAGTAAGTCTGTATTTCATTGGTCCTTCCGATCCACCAGCTCAGCGGCAACCCATCTAAAAGATATGTGTGAAAATATCAATTCCCAGGTTTATATACTACTCTTCCCACTTTTTTTTTTTTTTTTTTTTCCATCCAATTTTTCAAAATTCTAAGAGGAGGAAAATTATTTTTCAAATGTAAAAACTTTAAAGAGCAATAATAATAAAAAAAGTTATCACCTTTACCTGGCAAGGAAATACTCATTTTAATACCTCATTATGAGGTAGCAAACAATTGTCACAGGCACTTCCTTGTTTAGTAGAGATCAGAACTCACAGTCCCTCCTTTGCCAGTCATTATATTAGAATCATTTATACTAATAATTCAATTTATATATTTTATTTTAAAGTGATCTGTGAAGAAGGAGGTAACATTACTCCGAAAAACCAATTATATTGATACTAAAAAGATCAATTTTACATCATGAAACTACCAGGAATCAAATCAGAGGAATTATAGAAAATGCAGAAATGGACTTATCCTACTAACAAGAGCTCAGAGTAGTACTCACATCTGTGATGCACGTTGAACAAGTGAATAGAAAAATTACGCAGTGTTTATCAAATTACCCAAAGTCAGCTGTTAAATCACATGCTGCAGATTCAGAATTTATGTACTCAGAATTTATGTATTCAGAATTTATATACTTATACTCGCATATATACGAGACAGCAAAAATCATGTTAGTGCCTTGGTCACTTGGGAAAATTGCGTATTTGGTAAAGAGTATTTCCCCTTGTGTATTACTTCTCTGTATAATGCATTTGCCAGTGTTTTTTATAGTAAAGTGACAAAACTGCACGTTTCCTCAATTTTAAAGTCCTGTAGATTAAGATTAAAGAGTTGTCAAGCAAGACAGGTAATAGAAAAAATACACAGCACAGGAAATGTCTAAAATATGTGAAGCATAAAGACAAATCACCTCAAATCAGAGGGAAGAAGGTTAAAAGTTGCAACACGTTAATGTCAGGGCATGAGAAAATGTCCAGTAGTGTTACACTGTAGTTTTCTACAGAAACAATTCTTCTTGCTGTTGTTTTGCCCAAATAAAACAACAAAAAAATCAGCAGAAGGCCTCAGGAATAAACTCAAATTAATACTAGTTTTAGCTTTACTTTACACTGTTTATTGAATCTCACTGTTAGATAACACCTCTATTATGCTGACAATGTTAAAAAGCTTGCAAAAATATTAACTGCACTCATTATCACATGACTGTTGGCTCAGCAGGCCAAAGAAAGATTGCAAATTATTTCCAGAAAAGTCAAATTTGCATAATAGCATCGATGTCCAATGTCAGTGTTTGTATTTGCAAGCCTTCACAGGAAGAAGAAAATCTGATGACAGTTTATAAACAATTCATCAGGCAGCTCTTTAAAAGGTTTCCAGCAAAAAGGGCTGTAAAAAAATTGATGTGTTTCTGATATTTCAACAGCATCTCTTAGCTTTGTATTGTAGTCATGTACTAATATTCCCAATTTTTTACATTAGGACATATTTGAAAGCTAGTCTTTGTTCATGTAAAACTATGAGAAGAGAATATTTACAGAAATGTAGCATCTTCATACTTATTAGTACAGATTGTCACCCCTGTTTTGTTGCTAAATATTGCCTAAGCAATGTATATTAATAAAAGGGACTAGAAATTTCTTAATAACAGCCATGTACATTTATTAACAAGTAACATCTTTAGTAACATCATTTACATGTACTATCAGGTTGACTGAATATAATATATTCTTAAAAAACAGAGGGTAAACAATATCTGCAATATATGTGTCTAAAAATGTATCATGTGATAATAATCAAATTTTGTATTTGTCAGGTATGGCTTTTGAGATTATAGATCACAAAATTGGGAGGGTTCTTTGCAGGAAATTTGATAGTACATATATTTGCATTTCCAATTCTGAAATTTCATTGAGGTTATAATAAATGAAACAGATTTATTTGCAGTAAAATGTGATTTGAATTTCGTTTCAGTGTTTGCTTTTGCTATATGCTATATGCAATTGCTTTTTCTGTTTTGAAGTGCTAACTATAAAATAACACAAAGAAAGAAGACTTTATAAAGGTTATCTTCAGATACAAATAGATGAAATAACAACTAAGTCAGAAAGCTATTATTTAAAATATTCCAATTAGATTATTTTGCCTTTCAGAAATTCCCTCATTTTTAAAAAATGTACATATTTTCTAAACAGAATTCTTATTTAGATGTAGGAGATTTTCATAGTATGCTGAAAATTTTCACAACTTCAGCTGTAATTCAGTTAGAAGTGGAAGAACAAAAAAACCCTGATTAATCTTCTGAGTGTGTGAGATTACAGTATTGTGTCACACTGTAACCCTAAATCTTTGTTCAAATGCATAACTGGAACAAGAAGAAAAATGCATATTCATATAAAAGTAGGTGCAAAGAGTATTTCAGAGCTCTCAGAAACACAGAGCTATATATTCCAGTAGCAATTTTAAATACAAAATCAGTAGTCTTTGGAGAGGACAAGTAATTTGCTCTCCTCTTCCTGTTTTTCAAATTGAAAGATAAATAAAAAAATTCTCTTATTTGGTGACATCATCTTAAAATTCTCAAAAGATGCTGGATTTGTTCTGAATTTCTCTCTTTTTCCTGAAGTCAGCCAGTTGTAAATTTATACTGTCAGAAAGATAAGTATAGCAGTTGAAAGATTTGAGATGTACTTCCACAGCCTCAAAGAAAAAGTTTAGTGTTTACATTTTGTAGAGTCAGCAGTTCAAAATATTTTTCAGACAAAATAATAATAATAATAATAATAACAGTAGTAGTAGTAGTAGTAGTAGTAGTAATTTAGAATATATTTAACTATAATATCTCTAGTTATTTTAGATTAACTTAGATCTTCAGATAGCTGAAAGGCAATTGCAGTGAGAGCGAGGTTGGTCTCTTCTCACTGGTGACAGGTGACAATACTAGGGGAAATGGTCACAAATTGTGGCAGGATTTAGGTTGGATATCAGGAAAAACTTCATTACAGAAAGGATTGTTATACACTGGAACAAGCTTCTCAGGGAGGTGGTTGAGTCACCATCCCTGAATGTGTTTAAAAACCATCTCTACGTGGTAATCTCAGGGACTTGATTTAGCAAAGGGTTGTCAGTGTTAGTGTAGTAAGGTGTAAGAGACTATTCTGTTAACTTCTGTGTCTCAAAGCTTGCTGGGAACACAGGTGGACTTGTTCAAGTCCAGACAAGTCCCGAGCAAGGATTGTGAAATCCTTTGTCTGGGGGAACGCAGATGGACAAGGCCAGGGGCAAGGCCAGGGGCAACGAGCGCGAGATGAGCTGCAGCTAAATAGCTGTGAAGTGCTCCTTTGTGTGGACCTATCTCCGGATGTCTCGCTCCAATTTATAGGAGGGAGAGGAGGTTCTTTTATTATCTATATACCCGGCGTGAGATTAAGAAGCAACGGTTCAAATGTTGGTCCGACCAGTTTATTACAAATCTTAATCAGGGAAATGGGGAAGGGAAGGGCGGACACTATTATGATTAGGGTAATGGAGAAGGGAAGGAGGGCGATAGAAAAGATAGAAAAGAAGAAGCAAGGAGTCTTTATAGGCAGCAAGAGGGAGATAGTCACCACCATGGATCCAGCGAGGTTCGTAGTTCCGTCTTTGATCCTCGGTAGCGGTGGGTCGTCAGGCAGAGTTGTCCTGTTGCCAATGACGACGACAACCATGGTGATGATGGCCCTTTTTCAATGCTTCAAAGTGGTTGAGTCAGCTCTTTTTGGAGTGACAGCTCAAATCCAAGGTGGTTGAGTCAGTTCTCCTTGCGGTGGCAGCTTCTGGCTCTGGGATCTCAGCAGGAACCTCCTTTGTTCTTATCTTTCTGGCCTTGCCAGCAGATAAGAGGAAGCAGGGAGGCACCAACTTGCATCTTGCCTTCGCAAGATACAATGGTATCATCCCCCAGCCTTCCATACTTAGCTGGAACGGTTTGGCCACAAGCCAGATCTTCCGCTCTTCTACAGAGCAAGCAGCTCTGGGGGAAGGGGCTTGCAAATGTTCCCAAAGCGATATCGATTGTCACACAGTTAGCACCCATCAGCTGCCTCTTTGACAAGTCACTCAGAGTCTTATCACAAGAAAAACCTCAGGAAGCAAGCTTTGAGCCAAAAAAAACTAAGAAGGATTCTCACACCGGATAATGGCCATCTCAGGGGGTACTCAATGACTCTTGCTCAAGGCCCATCCTTGTCACGTAGGCAGGAGAATAAGGAGGATAAAAGAGGAACTGAAAACCATGAGGATAGGTTTCTGACAACAGATTCCTCATGAAGAACGGAAGGTTTCTGACAACAGATTCCTCATGAAGAACGGAGGATTTCTGACAAGAGATTCCTCATGAAGAAGAACAGAGGGATTCTGGAAGATTGAGGTGATTCCTGCATACTGTCGAACTCTCCTGAGCCTGCTGCCTGACCGCTGTTGCTGCTTCAAGAATTGGCTCCTCGACTTCCTCGTCTACCTGCCTGCTGCTCAAGGCCGGCCACACTGCTGCTCCCCGTCTTCTGCTGTGTTCTGCCCAGGACCTGCAAACACCGTGCAACAGGACCGCTGCTGGATCCTGCTGGCGACTATCCCCGCTTTACGCAACTCCTGCTTCTTTTCCATCTTTTCTGTCGCACTCCTTCCCTTCCCCGTCTCCCTGATTAGGTCTTAGTAATAAACTGGATGCAACAACATATGAACTGTTGTTTCTTAATCTCACACCGGGTATACTGATATTAAAAGAACCTCATCTCCCTCCTATAAATTGGAGCGAGACATAAGGCTAGGTTGTGGCTGGACTGATGATCATAAGAGTCTTTTCCAACTTGAAAAATGATTCTATGATCATTTAAAACTCTAAATGTTAAACAGTTCAGCAGAACTGACTAGTTGTGCTCTTTCAGATTTTTAACAAATCCTGCATTCCTGTGCTGTCTCAATATATTTCAAAAATAAGTAATAAGAAGTCTTGCTTCCCTGAGTTTTTTCCTGCTTTCTTCTCTGAGTTTCTGTTTGTTTTACTCCAATGAACGGGATTTAGTTTTTCCTTGTAGTTCACTCTGTGTAACATTTAATAGCCAAAATTACAAAATACCTAGTCAGCACAATCTTGAAACCCTCTGCTGGGTGTCAATCAAGCTTTCAAATACCTAACCAAAACTTGAATCATGAATATACAGATAAAACAAAGGCTCAGTGCCTGAAAGGCATCAATAACTGAAATAAATGCTAGTCTGAGAAGTTGTAGTGATGTCCATAATACAGGCAAGGATGAGACGTATATAAAGGAAGGATTGAGAAGAACCAGAGACTTTTGAACTTCTGCTTTCTATAAAACAATGTCAAGAAATCAATTTGAGAAATTTGATTTTCTGATAAACATATAATAAAAATAATGGATTATTTTTTCAAAGCTCAGCTAATAATACGGTTTTTATGTCCATGTTCTTTTTACTCAGTACTTAAAATGGTTTTTCACAGTACAATCTGTTAACATCAATTGCATGTCATTGAGCGTTAAGACTTAAGGAGACTCAAGTCTTAACTTAAGTCTTAATTATTTAAGTACATCAGAAAGATGTATGATGTATTAAAAAACATTATGCAGAAAAAAAATTGATATCAGTGTAGTGATTTGTGTTCTTTTAACAAGATATTTCTTCAGTAAAATTTAATAACCTCAGGAAAGCAGACTAACAGAGGCTCTGTTAATAAGGTTGTCTGTTGATCTGACTTTGAGATCACTTGATATTGTGAGCAAAGATTATTATAAACTACCCTTTCTATTTTTCAAAATATTTTTATATTTTTATATATAAATATAAAAATTTATATTTTTTATATTATATATTATATTATACTTTATATATTTAAATATAAAATATTTATATATATTTTTCAAATATCTCGGCAATTTACATAAATCTGAATACTAGATCTATGATGTTCAAAATTTATTGTAGCAAAATGACATAAGCATGGTTTAAAAATAAAAAAAGATTGACAGTGAAAGAAAGTACATGGTATAACGTTATACTATTTGTCTGTTTTACTCACCTGGCTTATCTAAAAGCCTTGACTTTTTGCAGTGGTAAGATATCTCCTGTTCACAGTGTTCTGCATGGTTAATTATAGCCTGAAGCTGGTTTGGGCTGGCGGAGTACTTGAAAAATGCAGCATGAGGATTCTCTCGATTAGCACTTCTGATTCTGGTTAAGTTGGTGTTGTTGTGTTGTATTATTGTCCACGTTGTATCTTTCAAAACATGGATGAAGGATGTTAGAAAGGTGGATAAAGGATGCAAAGTAATTGAATAAGTAAGTAAGTAAAACAGAAGGGACAATGAAATTACATCAATCTGTAAATCAAATTCTTTGATCAAGAAAAAATTCTTTTGAGTATATGAAACATAGACATAAACCATGGAGCAAAAATGAAACCAGTTAATCAGTTTCTATTTATAAGTACGTTACCATATCGTGACTGTTGCTAGTTAAGTTGCTTGTTATGTTTATTGAGGAAGAAAACAGTAAATGAAGAAACATAAGAAATGGTCTCTGAAATAGTTTGGTTTGTAAATTGCAATGAAATAATAAAAATAAGGAATGGTTACTATCACTACTTTTCCCAGGCTTTAATTTTCTACTAAATAACACAAAATTATATATTAGATTATAGTAACATCGCATTTATCATTGTAATTTACTTTTTTTTTCTGTCTGAGAAAATTATGTACGTTTTTGCATTGCATGAAGAAGTAAAAGTAGCTTGCAGACACTGCATTTACTACTCAGATCAAATTAACATGATTCTTTTCTAGCCACCTGAAATCAAACAGTAATATTTATCTGAAGTACTCTTCAAGATATGTGTTTAGTCAAGAACTAAAAAACTCAGGTCAAGACATTCATAGTTCAATAGTAGCATGCTTCCAAATACCTGGTTTATTTAAGGCAACAACCACTGTACAGTCACTTGACTCAGTATTGTAACATGAAGTACTAGTTCAGAACTGAGAACTGCATTTTCTTAAAAAAAAAACACAACTCTTAAGTTAATGTTTACGTTATATACTGCTGAGTAAGGTGCTCTCTTCTTCACTGCATTGTGTGGCTTTAAGATTTGCTTAAAGTGGGGATATACAAAATACTGCCAATTTTTTTTTTTTTTTTTTTCCCTAGAAACTATTGAACTGAGTCTGCAAAATGCAGCTGTCATAAACCTTTAGCAAATATTCAGTACTCTGGACATTATTTTTGAGAAAAATATCTTCCAGAGTAATTTTCTTGTATTAAAAGAATATACTTGCATATGAATATATATATTATTCAAGTGTTTTGCATATGAATATATATATTATTCAAGTGTTTGAGTAGCTAGCAATAAATTACATTTTTATAAAAGATGTGTATTAAAATATGCAGTGTGCTGTGAAACAGACTTTCTCCAACTTGAAGCAATCTTACTAACTGAGTAAACGAGTATACTAGCTTTTCAGTTAAGTTGATAATTCACTTTTTTTTTTTTTTTTTTTTCCATTAAATGTCTTCTTTCAACTTTCTACATTTGCTGAGAGCATTTTTAATTGCAAAACCTTACCATGGAGAAAACACTATAAAACAAAAGCAACATAAACTAAAACTAACACCTCTGAAGACATTATCTTAAAAGCTGTCAGAAAATATAGGCTGACTACCAAACTAAATCCCTGCTAGCTTGGACTCACTTTAAGAAACCTGGGCTATTAAGGTCAGATGGTGTTTATTGGAAGATGGAAACTTTTATCAAACTTTTGTCAGTTTGAAGCCAGTGTGAGTAATGGTTGCCTGTAGATAGCAAAAATGCAAAATGAGAATTATGTGGATGAACAAGGAGATTCTGGCCAAACTCTAATACAGAAAGAAAGCTGACAGAAAGAACAAATAACTTGGGTGGAATATTGAAATATTGTTTAGCAACCAGTGATCAAGTAAGAACAATTAAATCTCAGATTGAATTTAAACTGTGCAGTGACCTCGTTGGCAACAAGAATAGTTTTTGCAAATACCTCATGGAAAAAAAAGAAGAGTAGGGAAAATGGATGCCCTCTACTGATGGAAACCAGAGAACTAATTACCAAGGAAAGTGAAAATTCTGAAGTACAGAACCCTTTATTTTCCTCAGACTTCATGGAAAGAGCTTTAGCCACACCGACCAATTTGCAAACTCCAAAGGCAGGAACTGGGAGAAAGAAGTGCCATCCATTATAGAAGATCAGGCGTAAGACCATTTAACAAACCTTAAGATTCCTTAAATGTGGAGCCTAAGAAATGCATCTGATGGCCAAGGGAAATGGTAGATTAAGTTGTTAAACCACTGCCAATATGATCGGAAAAGTCATAGTAGTCTGATAAAATCCAGTGCCTAGAAAAGGGAAAACATAAATTCCCTTACCAAAAAGGGAAATAAAAATACAAGATGGTAAATACTGGCAGTTATTCTCATCTCTGTATCCAGCAAAATCATGGGCATATCCTTCTTAAAACTGTGCTAACTCACATAGGGAACACCAGAGGTGGTTAATGACAGCCAACTTCAGCATGAGTAAATCATGCCAGACAAACCTGACAGACTTCTACAACAGGGTTACAGAAGTGGTACGTAAGAGAAGAGAAAATGACATTGTATGGGAACTGCTGAGTCACAGCCTGAACCTCTGATTGATCACCTGAGGCGAGCCATAAGTCAGCCAGAGGAGCACAGGTGAAGGCAATTCCTATTTAAGACCTATTTAAGAGCTGGCTACCAGAGGGGAAGGATCTCTTCTGGAGATCACCTCTCTTGGTGTTTTGTGGTGAGCTCAGCCAAAGGGTAAGCTCTTCCACTTATTATCTTTTTGTTATTGTTATCTACTTTGCCTAACTCTCTTGATTATATTGTGATTATAATATCTTGATATCTATTGATTATACAATTATATTGTGATTACAACATCTTAATATCTATTGATTATACAGACCTCATCTCTCTGGACTTGTACAAAACATTTGATAACGTCATACATCATTATTGTCTCTAAAATGGAAAGCTGCCTTGAAGGAGTTGTGGTCAATGGTTTGATTCCAGAGGATTTGGGGAGTTCCCTCAACTTTCTGGTAATATTTCTTCTGCTGTAAATCAAAACATGATTGGCTAGGCTGGGTCTTTCAATAATGATAAGAAGTGTCTCTCAGGTTCTGTATTTGAAATGGTATTATTCAACATCTCTTTTGGTTACATGGACAATGGGATAGAGTTTGCAGCTTTGGAGACCAAAACATTCAGGAGAGAAAGGATACTACCCAGAGGGATCTTGACAAGCTTAAGCAGCACTTGTGAACCTGCAGCTCAACAAGACTAAGTGCATGGTCCTGCATTTTTTTTTTTAGGACAATTGTAAATACAAGATGTTCAGAAAATGGATTGAGAGCAGCCCTGATAAGAAGGATGTGGGGATGTTCCACTGAAGAAAAAGACAACATGAGCTTGAAATGAATGCTTGTGGACTAGGAAATCAACCATATCCTGGGATTCATGAAAAGCAGCATGAACGATGTGTTGACGGAGGTGACTCTGCTCTTACACTCTTGTGACAAATCTCTTGAAGAGATTCAGGAGATTAATTCAGTTCTGGTGCCCCAAACATAAGGATATGTGAAGCTATTAGAGTGAGTCCAGAGGAGGGCCATAATGATGATCAGTGGGCGGAAGACAAGTTGAAAGATCTGGTGTTAATTCTGAAAAGACATGGCTCTGGAAGTTCTAATGTTAGTTAATCACAGAAACATAGAATCATAGGATGGCTCAGGAAGGGACCTCAAGGATCACAGAATCACAGAATTGTAGGGGTTGGAAGGGACCTCCAGGGATCATCGAGTCCAACCCCCCTGCCAAAGCAGGTTCCCTACAGCAGGTCGCACAGGTAGGCATCCAGGCAGGTCTTGAACATAAGGATCAGCAAGCTCCAACCCCCCTGCCACATGCAGGGCCACCAACTTCCACATTTAATACTAGACCAGGCTGCCCAGGGCCCCATCCAACCTGGCCTTGAATACCTCTAGGGACTGAGCATCCACAAGCTCTCTGAGTAGCCTGTTCCAGCACCACACCACTCTCTCTGTAAAGAACTTCCCTTGGTATCCAACCTAAATCTTCCCTCCCTCAACTTAAAAGCATTTCCCCCTGTCCTGCTGTTATCTACCCTTTCAAAGAGTTGATCCCCCTCCTGTTTGTGTCGCCTACTACATGTTTGTAGGCTCCCTTTAGGTACTGAAAGGTTGCAAAGAGGTCACCCTGCAGCCTTCTTTTCTTCAGGCTGAACTAGGTCAGCTCTGTCAGCCTGTCTTCATAGGGGAGGTTCTCCAGCCCTCTAATAATTTCTGTGACCCTCCTCTGGACCCTCTTCAACATCTCCCTGTATTGTACTGGGGGCCACAGACCTAGGCGCACTACTCCGGATGGGGCCTCACGAGAGCAGAGTAGAGGGGGACAATCACCTCTCTGTCCCTGCTGGCCACCCCTCATCTGATGGATCCCAGGATACCATTGGCCTTCAAATATACAAGAGCACACAGCCGGCTCGTGTTAAATTCTTCATCCATTTGTTAGTTAATACAAACATCATTTAGAAAATTAGTGTTTTTAACTGTTCCACAAAGTTGCATTTTACTTCATTTCCTACAGGTTCTTGACTGACACTAAAAGATATTTAGAGTAAGAAAAGAACACACTGTCTTTTGAAGCGCAAATATTCTTCAGAAGACATCAAGGAAACTTCAGGATGTGATTTCTATTCAGAAAATAATATTCTGAAAGGAATTTTATGCATTTTTTTTTATCACTACATACATGATTTTGGGCAAATTTTTGTATGTAAATTATATACTCACAAAATTGAATTGCCAGGTTACAGCCTGAACTCATGTGAGCTTATGACTGCCTGGAGCAGAGGGAGCTTAAATCCTCCCTTCTTCTCTTCTTTCCCATCTCAGCAGTGCTTCCGGCAGTACTTTCTGGAGTGTGTATGCACTCAGAGTGTGCATGGATCTCTCCCCAAGACCTGGTGCAAGAGCTTGAATCAGAAAAGACTGCATTCCTCAGTTCACCCTTTTCTCCAACCTGTTACTAGGAGGGGTGAATTAATTCCTCTTTCCTTGATATCTTGTTCTATAGTGCCCTGTATCTCAGTCAAAGACTCTGTTAATGCTTTTGATTTCTTTACAGCTCATGATATGATAAAGCAGGTTTCTGGAAATATGCATTGGAACACAAGTATGTTTAAAAGTTATTCTGGACATAAAAATAAAGACAGGTAGATTGTATGTCTATGTATTCAGACATTCAAATATATAAAGAAAAATACATCAATGAAAATTGAGTAAATTTAACTGTAACTGTAGGCTTTTCAATCTGAAACTGGTTTCCAAGAATAAAAGTACAGAAAGGCACCTCCCTTTCAAGTGCCTCCCCAAAAAAGTGCTGCAAGAAATTTAGACATTTGCCTTTCATGTCCCCCAGGGGTTGGTACTGGAGCCCATCTTGTTTATCTTTATTGATGACCTGGATGAGGGGATTGAATGTACCCTCAGTAAGTTTGCAGATGACACCAAGTTGGGAGGTAGTGTCAATCTGCCTAACGGTAGAGAGGCCCTTCAGAGGGATCTAGATTAGATGGATTGCTGGGCTGAGGTGAATGGGAATGTTTCAACAAGGCCAAGTGCTAGATCCTGCACTTCGGCCACAATAACCCCATGCAACACTATAGGCTTGGGGATGACTGCGATGAGGAAAGAGACCTGGGGGTGTTGATTGATGCTCAGCTGAACATGAGCTGGCAATGTGCCCAGATGGCCCAGAGGGCCAGTGCCACCTTGGTCTGCATTAGAAATAGTGTGGCCAGCAAAAGCAGGGAGGTCATCATCCCCCTGTACTCAGCAGTGGTGAGGCCGCACCTCGAGTATTGTGTTTTGTTTTGGGCTACTCATGGCAAGAAAGACATTGAGGCCCTGGAATGTGTCCAGAGAAGGACAGTGAAACTGGTGAGGGGGTTCTGGAGCACAAGTCTGATGAGGAGTGTCTGAGGGAGCTGGGATTATTTAGTCTGGAGAAGAGGAAGCTCAGGGGAGACCTCATTGCACTTTACAACTTCCTAAAGGGAGGTTGTGATGAGGAGGGGTTTGGCCTCTTCTCATTCAACAAACAGGAAATGACTGGAGGTTGTACCAGAGGATGTTTAGATTAGACATAAGGAAGAACTTTTTCTCTCATAGGGTGGTCAGACACTGGAATGGCCTGCCCAGAGAGGTGGTGGAGTAGCTGTTCCTGACAGCGTTCAAGAAGTATCTGGATGAGGAGCTACAAGATACGGTTAAGTAGCTTGTGGCAGCAATAGTAATGGGAGGACAGTTGGACTAAGTGATCTTGTAGGTCCTTTCCAACCTTGTGATTCTATGATTCTAAGTCTTGGTTGGGAAAAGGGAACACCAGTCATGAGGACTATGGTAAAGTAACAAATACAGAGGATTCAACCTGTTAGGCTGCATCTTGAGATGATGAACTTATCCACAGGGTAGGCTTAATGTGGTGAATATGGAGTGACTGAGAAAAACAGTAACAGATGTTCAAAAACACACCAGAGTAACTCAGATGCTACAGAGTGCCTTCAAGGATTAAACCCTCTTAAAAAAGAAACCACCTTTCTGTCATTATATTTGGTCTCTTTTAATCTCATAAGACTGTAGAATATGTCTTTTTAGGGGTCTGAGCTAGTCTGAGAGCTAGTCAGTTTATGAGTTAACAGAGCTTACTGTATAAATCAAAGTCAGGAGTTGATGTGGTGAGATTAGTTAAACTGCATTCACTGATTTACCAGAATTCAGGTTAATTCACTATTTGTATTCTTTAGATGGCTGTGAAAATCATCCAGTGCCATTGGCGGATATAATATGATTAGAAGTCAGTATAGTTCTTTAGTATTAGTTGAGGCATTACTTAAAAATAGTTTTAAAACTCCACATCAAAATATTATGATAAAAAGAACATAATAATAAGGACAAATCTAAGTCAAATTCAATCATAGGTTATCCATATAATCTTTTAAACACTTAAAAATGTAAAACTAAATTGTCATAAATTTTTTTTTTTTTTTTTTTTTTTTTTTGTGTAAAATGATGAAGTGCTTCCATTATTTTTTCTGGAAGGAAATTCAAATATACAGAAGATAAGAAAACTGAAAAAGACACAAATATATATAAGGTAATACTAATTTTCAAAGAGACAATTATATAAGTTTGATTTGAAGGTCATATAATGATAGGCAACTTCATCTGTTTTTCTAAGATGCTTCTGAACAGTTAGTTTTGACATCTAGAACTTCTAGTGATGTGAACAGACAGAAACAAGGAACTGAGTGAAGAACAGGAGATTGTACTTGAAATTGAAGCTGTGAGAAATCCACTGGTTTAATTTATATTCACTAAAATATCTGCTAGAAGTCTGAAAAACCAAACTAAATACATTGATATTTCCTCTCATCAATTAAAATCCATAAAATTGAATTAAAATGTTTTATAAGGCTATATGGAATAGTCCATAATTTTCTCATAAAATATAACTTATTTCTTATTTCTTTAATGTACACAGAGAGCCTATAACTTGGATGAAAATATCTACTCCCAAAATGAACTAGTATTAAATTCTCTCCACCAGAAACATATTCCACTTACACAAAATACAACAAGAATACAGCATTAGTTTCACAGCCTGAATTCTGTTACGATTTTAATTTCTCTGCCTAATTCCTTGTTTAGAATTCTGAGATAAAGATTCACCTTCATTTTGTTGTGCATATGTGTATTAAATTCACGAGCTACAGAATTTTCTCACTTGATAAATTGAACTTCAGTACAGAGAGCATAGATACAGATCCAGTCATGAGTTATGAAAGTTTATCACCTCACCTGTCATATTGCAATACACAAGAAACGGTCCCAAAGGGCCACTTCCGTCTGAATCTATATTGTAAAAGCCAGAATTGTTCCCTTTGTGTTTATAGGCTTCACATGATTTTTCGTAGATGGCTGTAAAAATAAAAATCACCTTCCATCACAAAAGCAATCATATTTTATTCTATGAATAAGAAAATAATAATATGTGGATCCTATTTATGGAAAAAAAAAAATCAAATGCTCAAAGCTAAAGAATACAGAAGAAATCACATAACTTCGACTATATTTCCATTTGAATTTGTGAAGCACATTTATTTATATAGAGAGGGGAAATCAGGAGAGCTTTATTCAAGCATTTTCTTGTCTGTTTCAGGCTGGAAATGTTCAAGAAGAAACAATGAAATGTGGGTGTAGATGAAAAAATGTTCACAAAAGCAATCAACTAATGTAAAATCTGAAGATATTATTTAGACCCCAGGAATTAGATTTAGAGAAACCAAATACTAGCTAAAACAGATCAGATTTATGTATTTCTATGTTTGCTTATTTGCTTGCTTATATATTTACTTGTTTTTGCTTACAACAAAAGATAGGAAGTGCTTATAGATAATTTAATAGCCTCCTGGAATTTTCACAACTTTTCATAACCATGCACAAACATGTTCTTAGAGATAAATATGTGATGACACTCAAATATGAATGTAGTCTCATGTTATAGTAATTATGTGATAAATATAAAAATTATTCAGAATAATGTATTAATTCAAAAGGTGGATTTAAAGACAGGAGAGGATGTTACCTCCTATCTTGTGCAACATGAAAAAATGCAAAACAGTGACAAATACAAACTAAATTTTTCACTGAGTTTTTCTTTTTACAGATTTTGAGTACCCGAGACCCTCTCTTGAACCAGTTTATGGATATTGTAATTGAAATGTTTAATATGAATGTACACACTTCCAGGAGAGAGAGAAATCTACTAGAAATAGAAGTAAAGTTAGAAAACATCTCAGACTTACGATAATGGCAAGTTGCTCCTTTGTAACCAGTATTGTTACAGTTACAGTAGAAGTTGTTCCATGACTGTGAACACTCACCACCATGTTCACAATAGTTAGGCAAGCACCTAAAATGAAAGAAATATTCTCGCTCTCTTCCTTTCTCTTACCTGGTATTTATATTTATCAGTAGACAACAAATCATGAAAAACAAATATAATAATGTACAGGAATTCTTCAGGCTCGTTGGAGAAGGGGAATATGTGTTTAAGATTGTGGGCGGTACTCAGTGTGGGTGGTACTCGAGTTACGGTGGATGGTAGTTACAGAGGGTGGTTCTGGGTGGTGCTTAATGGGTCATGGATTCATGAGGCTGTCGCGTGTCATGTTATATAAGCAGATGTTGCACAGCAATAAATTGTCGCTTGAACTACACCCTATGTCGTGTGTCTCTCGTGTCCCTGCACTGGGTGAGATGCAGACGGTAGGGGCGCTGATGAGGTGTTGTTGACTGGGCAGGGTTGCTTGGAGGTTGGCAACAAAGATTACTAGAAAACTAAGAGAGCATTCCTTCATCTTTCTGTTTCTGTTTCCAACATATGGATATGAATTGTTCAATAAATACGTGAGAACAGAAGTAATTAAGGATGCATAGTTATTAATTGTTGCCAATCAACTATTTGCAATTAAATACAGGCTGATACATCTATTAGAATTTACACACTGATAGTTCACCAGCAAAGTTTTTAAAAGACATGGTATGTTCAACAGGAGTTATTACAACAAGGAATTCTATAATAATAGCATGGTTTGGGTGGAAGCAACTTCAATGATCGTCTAGTTCCAAGCCCCTTACCATGGACAGAGTTGTCACACGCTAGATCAGTTGGAAAGAACCATCATAAGAGCTTTAAGTCAATTTATTCTAAAAACATAGGAAATAAAGTCATGTAACAAAAACCTGACAGTTATTTAAGAGCATTTCACTTTAGAAACTATTTAAGCTGCTTTTTAATTGCAGTGACTGTTTGTATATACAGAAATGAAGAAAATATATACATATTCTTATCGTTGATGTTAACCACACACACAAAAAAAATTAAAAATAAATAATAAAAAATAAGAAAATAAAAATAAAAAGCAGGCCTACTAACATCTGCAGGATCCAAAAATACATTTTAGTTAATTCAAAATGTCTTAAAAAGGTATTAATCTAGAACTGTAGAACGTACAGCTTGTCACAAATCTGACTTAGCAAAAATTCAAGGCTAGCAAAAATTCACTCCTGCAGACATTCAAATAATTTTCCACCCTCTCGTGCTTATAAACAAAAGTAAGCTGCTTTTTCTTGAGGGAAAAGAATAGTGAACTGGCAAAGTAAATGTAAAATAAGTAAAATTAAGCAAGTTAATTTCAAGGAAGGAAATAACATTTTTGCCAATAAAGGATCTGATATTGTTTCTGTTATCTTACATATATTTTTTAACTGGGTCTGTGGAAGACCTTAGTAAGTTCTGTTTCTTAATATAGAAATCAACTTCAAGCACTAAGCTTACTTTCACTTCGTTAGTCAATAATTTATTAAGAAATAATTCTTCAAATAAATACTTAACTTTTCTTGCTAGAAGTGTGAGCAGTAGGACTACTGTAAATACACTTCTCTAAAATTTGTAATACTCATAAAGCATCATAGTAATGATGTTCTGCTTGCATCAACCACAGTTTTCCTTGATTTTTCATTTCTTTATAAAGCCACAAATATTCCTAAATTCAAAATAGCTTTCACAGTTTTTTCTTATATTGGTTCTATAAATAACAATTCATCTTCTTAATAGTACTCACAAAATGGAGTTTAGATAAAATGGATGATGCTTGAACCAACTTTCATAGAACTAAAAACAATTCACAGTATAAATTCTTATTCCTTTTTTTTCTTCCCTTTCTTCCAGAATGTTTAATTAAAGTAACCACTAACTAAAGCTGAGAGTAGCTACTCTAATTATACTAGATGCTCTAAAAAATTGGAAAAAAGCTTTTTCTTCCTGTATTCTCTTAAATATTTCACACAAAAGTATTCCACCTACTGGAAAATATATTTTTAATGCTTCATCTGTAAAGCATATTTTGACATTCATTACCATGTCTGCTTAAACAAAAATCAGCTGATTATAATCCTGCACTGTATTATTTAATAATGTGTCTCAGTGCATAACATCTGGAAATGATGCATGATTTAAAACCAAGGCAGCCCACTAGTAATATTCATAATCTAATATTAAAAAGTGAACTGTACTACAACATGAGTATACTTTTAACAAAGAAAAAAAAAAGAGAGAGGAAAAAAAGGGGGTTTCATATACTAATTATTTGCTACAGAAAAATCTTGTACATCATCTACATTATCTGTTTGCTGTGCTTCCAAATTATGGAAATATATATTTTGGAATGAATAACTAATTGTTCCTATGTTCATTGGTTGTTTTTTTTTTTTTGTCAGTGTTCATTTGTGGTTGCTTTTTTTTGCACGTTCTGATATGTTTTGTTTCATTTTGTTTTGATCTGACTTTATGCATGCGTGTGCATTAAAAGAATAGTGAAACCTTTGTGTGTGTTAGTATCTTTTTTTTTCATACAACACACTGCTACTCTCTTCAGAGACTAAATGTGTTAAGTTTGTAAGATAATTGAAATAACGGTGAGTCCTATTACAATATTATGTCAATTGTTGTAATGTATAGTTAGTAATACTCCTACCATCTGGAGCACATCAGCAAAAAAAACTATTTTATCTTAGGACAACTAAAGTCACATCATTTTAGTGAGAGAATATATATTTTTTTCTCAAATGATATGTTGCAGAAAATGAGGCAAGTTATCCATTGGAGATTTTTTATACATGTGGATTTGTAGAATTATAGGATACCCCACGTTGGAATGTACCCACAACCATTGTTGAGTCCTCTCCCTGGCTCCACACAGGACTACCCAAAAATCAGACTGTATGTCTAAGAGTGTTGTCCAAACACTTCTTGTATTCTGATATCTGGATGCCATGACCACTCCATTGGGGTAGATGTTCCAACGCCTGAACATCTTCTTAAATAAGAACATTTTCCTGATATTCAATCTGAACCTGTCACAGCTTCATGACATTCAATTGAGTTTTATCACTGGTCATCATAAAGAGGGCGTCAGAGCCTGCCCCTCTGCTACCCCTTGTAAGGAAGCCATGGAAATGTAAAGAATTTTAATGTTGGCAAAGGAGAATATATGTTACCAGTTGGAATTTATAAATATGCATGAAAAACTCTGACTAAGAAGTAGAAGTTACTTACACAAATATATATTTAAAAAAATATGTAATAATAAAAAGTACATGACTATGATTTTGATGCAAAAAGGACACAGTTCAAATGCTATAAATGTTCAGTAAGATGAGAACAAAAGGAAAGGCTTCTTATTCTGCCTCTTTATTGCTATCAAAAATACTAGAAATAAAATAAAAAAAGTATAATGAATGTGGAGTAAGTTTATTTCCAGAGTTTAAAAAAAGATATTCAAGATCCTCCTGGACACTTTCCTACACAATCTACTTTAAGGGACCTTTTTCAGCAAACTGTTCAGACTAATAATCTCCAGAGGTCTCTTCCAAACGCTCTGGTTCTGCGATTCTCTGTAATTCTGCGATTTTGTGAAATATACCTGTGGTGCAACCTAACAGTGGACACAGTCTTGAAGATCTCCTAAACTATTTTCCCTAGAAAATTGTAAACGTATGGCAAGGGAATATTTTTTTTTTTTCTTTTTTCTTTTTTCTTTTTTTTTTTTCCCACATGCTGTATCATTTCAGCATAGCTTTTGTGCTTGGTCAAAGGCAATTGTTTCTGGATTATAGATGATTTTACATAGACTATAAAGGACTGAATTCTCCTGAACGTCAAGCAAGAAACTTTTCAGTCCATTACCTGCTTGTGTATTCAATCACTCTCTCCATTGAAGCCTCTGAAATTCTGCAAAACCCTTACTTCACTACACTGAACTTGAGCAATTTTTTTCTGCTTTTTCAATTTTGGGAAAGGTGTATAAACTTTCATCTTTTCAGAGGAAGCCGTTCAAACTTATCAGTCTTAAAAAATACTCTCTCACACTAATTTCAATTAGTTATGACTGAAGCCTAAAACAAGATCACTTGTGATGAATAATACACACCATATTTTCAGGTTAGTAAAATAAAAGAAGCAGAGATATCATGTAAAGAAAAGAGGATTTCAAATAATGAACATGACTTCAAATATCACAGATGAGGTTTTGTGTCTATAATGCTAGTAAACAGAAATTTTAAATATTAGTAAGAAAAGGTAGTCAGAAATATCAAATATCTTTAATCTCAAATACCATAATTTAAATTTCATTTTATCAACATCTAATTTCTAATTGTTATTCTAGGTACAATGCCTGTGTTTTAGACTTCTGAATTCTATAAAAGAAGCAGGCAATTTTGTATTTGGTCATTTGTCATGAAGTTAGCTTTAAAAATTAAGAAGATTGAAAATAATATATAGATTTTTCTTACCTGTCCATAATGCCACATAAATCTATCTGAAGGTCACTGAAATTGCCAAAAATATTTTGCTGAACCGAGATCATATCCACTGCTTCATTACCAATAGAAATGAGTTGCATACATCCTTGAAAGCCACCAAAGGAACTTTTACATTCCAAATTGTTTCCAAGGTTAGGGCAGCCTGTAAGAAGAATAATGTCTGAAGCTGAAAAAAATGTCTTGAAAATAATACCCTGAAAATAAACTAGAATTTGATAATTCCTAGGTGTTGTAAATTTTACAGGCAAGTTTATCCATAACCTCTTCTGATTAGGCATGTCTGAGCAAGAATAAATAATTCTGTACTTTTTTTAAGTACCCATAAGCACGACATGAAAACACTTAGTGAATGATCATCAGCACAAAATCTCAGGTTTAAATATAGGTTGACTCTGCTTTGGAAAAGTTACAAGACATAACTGAAGTTTAATAATACCAAAAGGACCTAGTAAATACAGAGGTACAGAGATTTTTTAAAATTTTTATTTATTTATTTTTTCCAAGCCATCCAGAGGTTTCTGAAGCCTGACAGCTATTTCCTGATGCAATGATCCAATTAGGAAAGACATTCTAGTAAACCTACTATTCCTAGACTATTAAAAATGAGTGAAGATGTGGACATCAAGGATAATCTTGGCTGCATCAAGCATGAAAATGTAGAGTTTATGATCTGAAAAGAAGTGAACAAGCAAAAATAAATAAATAAATAAATAAATAAAAATTATATCTGTATTGCCAACAAGAAGAAATCTATGCTGGAACACCGGAAGAAAATATTTCCATTCAAATGAACATGCAACAACTTTAAAAGTATTAATATTTTTTAAGGATTATACAGTAGGAAATTAGTTATGTTTGAAATGAAACAAGTAACTAGATTCTCAGTGTCTTCTTCTCTAGTGTGACACAAAACTTTTCAAAATTACTGCAAACATTCTAAAGGAAAGTATTCATTAATTCATATACTGCTCTAAGAAGACAAATCCTTGAACTTCACAAATAAAAAACCAATAACATTTCAGCATCACAGACATTTTGACAGTCCATTACATATTCATCTAAATCTTCTATAGCACCATGCAATAAGATGGTAACAAATGAATAAAGAAATAAATAAAAATATTTATTTGAGGTAAAAATCTCATGTTCATTTGAAAATTACTCCAATTCTGGTGATGCTTATACAAAAAAACAAACAAACAAACAACAAAACAAAACAAAAAAAAAAAAGTGTGACAAAAAAGAAAGTTTACATCTTATATTTTACTATTCAGCAAATTTCTCTATTTTTTTAATACTCTGGCTTTTTAAAACGTTTTCTGGCTCTTTTGAAGAAAAAGTATAATATAGATAGTATTCTGGAAAGTGAGATTCCATGTGATTCTGAGCCAGATGTTAAGGATAGAAGAAAGTCTTTTGATAATGAAATTTGCCCCAGCTGCTTATTGCAAATTTAAATAATCTGTTTTTTTTTTTTTTGTTTTGTTTTGTTTTTTTTTTTGTTTTGTTTTCCGTTCTAATTGTAAAGTTCTTTTCTGAAAAATAAGATATACCCATAATGATAGCTTGACCAGGAATTATACTGACACAGTGCTAAAATCACATCATGTTTGTTATGCTTTTTCTCAAATAAGTTTCCATATTTCTTGCATATTCAGTATTAATTAAAGCAAGTAAACTAACGATTGTGTTTACAGGACATTTCTCCTGGAAGATTGATATTCATGTTTTAACAATAAACAGCAAGAAAATTGACAGTATTATATGAACATGGACTAAGGTCAAAATATGGTCTATTACTTTTGACAGTGGCATAAGACCTAAAATTTTACTGAACAACTTTCTACGTTTAGTAGGCTTCAGCTGTGTTTTCCCCAAATTAAGATAAGATGCTGATTTGACTAAAATGAGATTCGGAGAGCCTGAGGGGTGAGTATGCAACAGGTACTTTCAGTATTATTGCATTTAATTCCCCACCACAACATATACACACACATAAGATAAATGCAAATGTTGTATTATAATACCTAAGTAAATTTGCTCCTTTTTGCAATTGCCCACTTCTACTTTATAAACACATTAGTCCTAAATGTTCAGTAGTGCAAAGCACCTGTTCAGAAGCATGGGAATCTGGACCAAAGTACATAGAAAAATTCAGATTTTTTTTCTACACAAGACCAATACTTAATATATTTCTATGAATATCAGCTTTATTAGAAGATACGTTTAGTAGACAAGGCTAAATACAAGATTTGAAATGTCCAGTTCGTAGATTCATTTTCTGCTCGTGAGTAAAAAATTTATTAAGAACCTATTATTAAAGGAATTATTTTGTGGTATTAAAGGAATTATTTTGTGGAGAAATATTAGGTTCAGATGCATATAGGGCTTAGTACACGTTTTTTAGTTTTTTTCTTTTTTTTTTTTAAATAATTTTTTCACTCACTAATTCCTATGCTAGTAAAGGATAAAACTTTAAGCTAATACTGGATAATGACTCTTTTTCATATTGCTACATTCCCAACTGCTTTAGGTTTATAGAAACTTACAAAATTCTATCAGTAAAAATATATGTGAATATTGACTAAACACTTTATGATATTCCTTGGCCTACTTACAAAGACAGCCAGACTGAAATTAAGTAATCTATATATAGCTTTAGGGACCAGTTATATTCTTCATAATAATATTGTCCTGTAGTTACCAAAAACAATTTTCAGGATTGTGTATCATGTACTGAATAAATATGGGCCCAAAGAACATACTTGCTGTCTCGCTCCAATTTATAGGAGGGAGATGAGGTTCTTTAATATCTGTATACCCGGTGTGAGATTAAGAAACAACAGTTCATATGTTGTTGCATCCAGTTTATTACTAAGACCTAATCAGGGAGACGGGGAAGGGAAGGAGTGCGACAGAAAAGATGGAAAAGAAGCAGGAGTTGCGTAAAGTGGGGATAGTCACCAGCAGGATCCAGCAGCGGTCCCGTTGCACGGTGTTTGCAGGTCCCGGGCAGAACACAGCAGAAGACGGGGAGCAGCAGTGTGGCTGGCCTTGAGCAGCAGGCAGGTAGACGAGGAAGTCGAGGAGCCAATTCTTGAAGCAGCAACAGCGGTCAGGCAGCAGGCTCAGGAGAGTTCGACAGTATGCAGGAATCACCTCAATCTTCCAGAATCCCTCTATCTTCAGGAATTCCTCTCTCTCTTCAGGAGGAATCTGCTGCCAGAAATCCTCCGTTCTTCATGAGGAATCTGTTGTCAGAAACCCCTGTTCTTCTTTATGAGGAATCTGTTGTCAGAAACCTATCCTCATGGTTTTCAGTTCCTCTTTTATCCTCCTTGTTCTCCTGCCTACGTGACAAGGATGGGCCTCGAGCAAGAGTCATTGAGCACCCTCTAAGATGGCCCATCATCCTGAGATAGGTCCACACAAAGGAGCACTTCACAGCTATTTAGCTGCAGTTCATCTCGCTCTCGTTGCCTCTGGCCTTGTCCATCTATGTTCCCCCAGACAAAGGATTTCACAACCTTTGCCTAGGGCTTGCCTGGACTTGTCCATCTGTCTCCTTAAGACGAAGGTTTTCACGGTCCTTGCTCGGGACTTGTCTGGACTTGAACAAGTCCATCTGTGTCCCTAGCAAGCTTTGAGACACAGAAGTTAACAGAATAGTCTCTTACACTTGCGTAAGTAAGAAAACATATACTTTGAATGAATATTTGAAGCTAGAGCAGAATATAATTCTTATCGGAAAGGTGATTTAGCAGCAGAATGACTATGTAACAAGACAGATTTTTTTTTGTGCCCGTATGATTGTCAGTCAGGTTATATTTAATAATCAGAACATGATACTAGAAAACTGTGTTCTAAAAACTGGTGGAAGGATTAGGATGGTAATTTATTCTACTTAACATTATAAAACCTGGATGAAACTTCAGCATAAAGGGTATGATAGAGATCCCTGAAAACAAATCCTGTGATAGATATCTGAGCCACATATAGAAGACATAAAGTGAGTCAAATCATTCTCATTGTTTGTTTAGATATGTCAGAAAAAAAAAAATGTTTAACTGTGGGATATTTCCAGCATAAATAAGGAATATGTTTCACCTCCAAAGTATAATGTATTTCCTGAATAAATCTGTAGAGGTATGGAGGCATGAGCCGATGAGAACATATCATTGTCCACTATTAAACTGATACGATTTCTTTTGGCAGAGAAGGATACAGAATGCCACTGGCCATTATTTAATCCAATACCTAGAAGGAAAATAAATAAATAAATAAAAATACAAACACTCATTATTAGTTATACTATCTGTATATTATAAACTTGAAAGGAAAAGAGATCAGTGTAGCAATCATAGTCAAAACAATCATTCCAAAAGACAATGAAAGGGACAAAATATTAAAGAATAAGGAACAGAAGTTTTTTGTGAAGACAGAATATTTGCCCACTTCTGTACTTCAGCAATTGAACCTTATTGTTATAGCACTCCTACTCCAATTATCCGTAGTGCATCCATTAATGCAATGCACATAAAAAGTATTTTCTCAGTCTAAGGAGTTAATAGTCAAGGCATCATTCTAATGGCTAATATAGTATTTCTCAGAGAACACACATATTTTTTATTTTACTACAACCAAGGATTTTTCCATCTTTTAAAATCAAAGGTAGTTATAACAATCCAGTGAAATAGCAAACTCCTATAGATGTTGAAATCTTCAACAACCATCATGTCAATATCATCTTACACACTATTTATTCATTGGTAGCATTGTTATTATTATCTGCACATAAGTAATTTTAGTCAATTACGTTCTGAAAAGTTCTTCAAAAAGTGATATTTCTGTCAGAGAACAACAAAGGCTACAACATTTAAATTATTTAAAGTCTTTTCTTGACTGCAGAGCATCTAGGTTGTAAGATGTTTTCCCTTTTGATATTTCATAAATGTATATAATCCTCACTAGAATTTGTTTTACTTTCTAGAAAAATACTTTTCAGTTAACAGATTTGTTCAAATAGAAGAAAATTAAAAAAAAAAATAAGATCAGAAGATTTAAACAGCTAAATAGCTTCATAAGTAGGACCCATATATTGTTAGCTACCACAGCTTAAATAAAAGATGAACATACAACCAAGAGATAAATCTTAGATTTGCATTATAGATGAAAATGATTTATCATTTAAAAAGTGTTTGTAGTACACTGACTATGAGACGCATACGTCATTTCCCAGACTTGTTTCTTGTACAAGAAAAAATCTTATCCTCTAATAAAACTAACATTTTTCTTTATCCCTAGCCAAAGTGGAATTAGATATAGACTACTATAAACAGATTGCTTTATCTCTGTGTTGCACTTTAAGCTGCCATTTCCCTTTCTGATGTAAGAAAACTGAGAGCTGTGGTCAATGGTTTTCTGATTACATTCCAATTATAACTTATTTTTTGTTTCAATTTTCTGTGAGAAATGGCATTTGGTGATACTAATAGGTATATTGTATTTACAGTCATAATCAAAATTAAATAAGTTTGAGCGTAAAATGATGTACGCATTTTCTACTACTGTAAAAATCCACATTCATGATATTCATAAGGGTGGAATTTGTACTAAAATAAAAACTGGAAACTTTATTCGACACAGTATAAAATAACATAAAAGGAATTACATCTGGCTGTCAGATGTTCACACACAGAAGAATGATCTTCCAGTAAAAAGTATTCATACAGTCCTACAGGCAATGTACAAGTAGTGACTGCAGTTTCCCTAGATTTTAAAGATCTCCAGCTTCTTATCAGTTGCAGTTAATATAACAGAGTAAACAACAGGCTGGTGTGTTTTGTATTACGCCCAATAGTTGAGCTGAAGAGTAAGAAAAAAAAGTATGCTTATTTTAGCTCTAGCTATATTTTGGTACTGTTGCATTGTTTAACAGTCAATGAAAGGTAGTGTAGATTAATAACTTGAAAAACATTATTATTTTTTTTAATACTATGGACAAGAAAAGTCATGTTGCATAGTAAAATTTTTAGACTTTACAAGTGCTAAAATTTATTTTTCATTTTCATATTATTTTACATCACGATCTCATGAAATGTATTGAAATTCTAATTTCAAAATTTAGAAAAATCATACATACAATTGAGTCTGAGATTTCTTCTAGTTTCCTAGTAACTAAGTCAATTTATGTCTGCAATTTATTTGTAGAATTATCTTCCAATAAAAAATGAAATTATAAGTATGTAACACTGGAGACTGTTACATCTCCTACCATGTTACTTAATACACGAAAAGAATGGAAGGGGAAAAGAAGGGAAGGGAAGGGAAGGGAAGGGAAGGGAAGGGAAGGG